TCATTAGCAGTTCATGTTCCAGGAAAGGTTTTAGAGTTGCTGAACAAAAGACAGCTCCTAGGTCCAACAGCTTTAGTTAGGTATGAGACAAATTTCAACTCTGAGGCCTCTCTAAGTCCCTAGCAAAAAAAAATATAAAAATAAAAAAATGATATTGTATGCACAGTACACTTTCAAAATCATAGGAAAGCCTTTATAATTAACGCTCTTATGAATCCATTACAGGTCACTGCTAAGCCCTGCGAGGCTGCATTGAAGGCCATCCAGAGCCACATGCTCAGAACAGAAAGAAGAAAGCACAGACCAAACAGAATGCTTCAGCATTAAGAATATCAGCTAGGGGCCTCCCCAATGGCGCAGCGGTTGAGCGCTGGGTTGCAAAGCTGCCCGCAGCCTCCACAGCACCAGTCCGATCCCTGGCTGCTCCCCGGCCACCAGAGGAGGGTCCCACATGGTGCGCAGACCTCTCCTGCCGCCCGCTGCTCCCCTCAGCAGTGTACTTCGGTCCTTCTGCCTGCTCTGCTCCCCGCTCTGGCTCTGGTGAATTCTCTCACCCTCCCGCGCTTCTGACTGTACCCAGCGCTTGTATAAATAAATAAATAATTTTTCTTTTTTTTAAAAAAAAAGAATATCAGCTCTTCTCTCAGAAGGCACACTAACCTGGCTGACTTCACACTTTGGCCCCACGTGCTTTATTTGGAAACTACGTGTCATGAAATTTTATGATGTGTTAAAAAAAAAAGTGTAAGAATATTTCTTCTTACCTACCTCACAAGAATGTTGGAAAGATTAAAATTAGATAGTTGTGAAAGTGTTCCTAATTCTCCTAGGAAAGACTGGAGAAGTGCTTTGTGGATAAACTTGTTTGTTGGAACTTTAAAATAATTATAATGATCCCACCTCACAGTCTTCTCCCATTTAAAGCCCAAGATTCTGCTGATCAAGTAGCTATTCCCTGTCTCGGAATAGCTCTTTAAAATCGTTCCACTTATGGGCCTCCCTGGTGGCTCAAGGGGTTAAGACACAACCTATGAAGCTATCCACAGTCTCTGCAGCTCAATTTTGATCCCTGGCCAGCCAGGGAGCAACCCACATGGCACCGCGGACCTCTCCCGTCTCGCCTGCTGCTCCCCTCAGCAGTGTACTTCGGTCAATCTGACTGTTCTGTTCCCCACTCTGTCTCTGGTGAATCCTCTCACCAACCCCCCCCCCAGCTCTGGCCTGTACCCCAGTTCTTGTATGCATAAATAAATAAATCTTTTTAAAAAATCATTCCACTTAAACCCACAAAGTACTGAATACATAATAAACAAAAAGAAAATAGGAGTTGTACTGCCCCTCCAAACCCTTCCTTTATAAATCAGAAGAGAAACTCCAGCAGTTCTGCCTTATCTAATTGTGGCAGAATTCCTGTTCCCCAGTCCTGTCCTATTCTCTAAACACATTTTCCTTTGTTTCCTTACAAATAGAAGAACTAGCGAATGCACTTCCCACTCTTTATACACCCTCCTCACATCTGCACATATCCACCTATTCTATTCTTTCACGTAAGCTGTAACTGATAAATGCATGACCCACCCACAGCAAAATGTAACTTCCTGCCTTCACACCACCACCCCCGGCAGCAAATGCTTTCATCTCCAGCAGACCCAAGGTCTGTAGATTTCTCAGGCATTTCCACATGTTACCCCACAAACCTCTCCACCCCCAATTCTACACTGTGAGATACAACTCTGAATGAGAGCTGTAAGTTGCTGGTGTCTGCTTTGGGAGCTATGCCTTCCTAAATAATTTTATTTTGTGTGCCTCTCCTTTGTGCTCTGCTAGCTTTTTTGCTCGCCACCCTTCATATATTCAGAATGTTCTTCCCGCCCCCTGCCCCAGTGTCCAGGACAGAGGGGAAATCCCAATATTTGTTAAAAGTGTAAAATGAGATGGTCCAGTAGGCGAGCAAGGCACCTGAAGCAGTTTGAAGGAGTGGGGTGGGAGGGGCCTTAAATCGAAGAAATAAAATCCTAAAAGTGGAATTGCAGATGAAATTTGAGGGCAGTAAACTCAGGAAAGAGAGGGTATCCCCTGAAGTTACTCCACTGAGAGTCACTAATTATACCTACAGGTTAATTGAACCCTGATTGTGGGGCTACTTGATACCAAGCTCCAAGAACTGAGTGGTGGAGATGACCAGTGATGGCTTCTTGGGCAAGAGGCAGAGTTGCTACACAGCATTCAGTTGCAGGGAGGCCCTTAAGATTCTTTCTTTGGATCTTCTTGGTACAACTTTAATAAGATGCCATTACCAATATATCTTAAATGTAATTAGTGGTAAACTAAAAGTTACAAAGAGTACAAAAGTTATCTAGTTTGCAAAGGATGGAATTCTGGTTCTCAAATGTAGTACAAATAAGAAAGCTGTTTTCTGGGATTCAAACTTTCTTTTTTTTAATTGTCCTTCCACTGTATTCTAAAAGAAGTTTCCATCAATTCTAATGTCACAGTCATTTTTTCTGTTCTATTCTTAAGGGTGATTTTTTTTTTCTTTTTTTCTTTTTCTTTTTATAAATTTTATTTTTATATTCCCCATACAATTGCAACCCCCTTATTTTGACCAAGAAAGGTATAAAGTAAAATGTCAGTTACTTCCTCTTCCCTCTTTTTCTTCCAGTTCAAATTTTTCCTCCACCACTAAGAAGCTTACAGCTGCCAGTTTGTCTTAACTCCCAGACACTAGTATCTGATCCATTAGGGGAAAAAAGCAGACTTTTCTGTATCAAGTAATTTCTCCTTCCAAACTCCAAAACATCAGGAAATAATGAGAGGAGCTATAGTTAGTAAATTAGCCTTCCTGGCTCAGGCAGGCAGCCCTGCCCATATCAGGCCTATCAGAGAATAGTTATCTCAGATGTGTTTCCTCCTTCCATGCAGTGAGCAGTGTTGTTACAAATGTTCACCTTTGAAAGATTCATAGTGAGACTGTCTCTAAACCATACTGCAATAAGAATTAAGACAGAAAGAAGTGAATCACTCTTCTGCTCCTTCAGTGATCTATTGAGCTCTTTCTTTTTCTGCTCTGACATATTTCATTTTTGTCCTTCTACTTCATTCTTTTCCCATACATGAGCCTTAGTAGATTGTGGTAGCCAAAATTTCCTCCTTCAATAACTAGAAAAAAATGATGAGGAAACTGTAAAAATCGTATTTCTAAAGACATAAGAAATCTGTGGAAGCCACGAGTTTTTGGGTGAATTGGATTCCAGAGAAAAGGGAACCCTTCTAAAGTTTCCTTCCCTCGGGGGCATTTGTCATATTGGGGCATGGGTTATGACAATGGAACTTTAGCCCATTCCCCTGGGGCTAATGGAACTAACTAATGTAGCCTCAAAGGTGACTGGTTATGCCCACAAGAAATTTCCTGAGTTCTGGGTTGTGCACAGGAGGCTGCAGAGTTAGAGAGCTTCTAACAGATAATGTGAAATCTCCTGTATTCTTGTGGTACACAGAAATTAAAGTCTTACTAGAAAAAGGGAGCTTCAAGCCCATAATCTCCCCCTCAAGATATTTGCCAGATTTTTCAACTATAGGGACATGAGGATAAATATATAAGCTCAAAATCTCCAGAGCCTTCTATACTTTACAGCTCCAAAGAGCATAACCTCTCTTAGGCTGTCAGAAGACAGTGAACCACCAGGCTGTCAATCAAAAGTCCAGGAAGACCATGCTCAAAGAGCAGGAACAAGCAATGGTAGACTGAGTTTTACTTAAACTGAAAAATAATTCCAATCCATCTCAGTCCTCTATAACCTATTTCTTTCTTCCTCCCTCTCTTCCCTCCCTCCCTCTCTTCCTCTCCCTACCTACCTATTTATCCTGGGGAGGAGAGAGAGAGAGAACGAGAGATATTTATTATAAGAGATTAACACACTTGGTTATGGAAGTTAAGAAATTCCAAGAACTGAAGTTGGCAAGCTGGAGACCCAAGAGAGCTGATGACACAATTCTAGTCCAAGCCTAAGTCTAAAGGCAAACAGAAGAATGACATCCCAATTCAAAAACAGTCCAGGAAAGAAAGTGAACTTCATCTCTTGTTCAATTCTAGGCCTTCAATGGATTGGATGAGGCCCACCAACACTGGGGACAGCAGTCTGCTTTACTCAATCAATTTAAATGTTAATCTCAACAGAAACACTCTAACAAACATACCCAGAAATAACGTTTAACCAAATGCAGGGCACCCTGTGGCCCAGCCAAGTTGGCACAATGAGTTACCACCACAAGTTGGCATAATGAGTTACCACCATCATTTTTTAATTTGGTACCCATTTGAATTTCCTTAATTCATATTGAATTCCCAAAAAAAGACAATAAGGTTATAATTCCAGTTAGCACAATACAACGATTCTTCATAGAATCAACACCACACTACTCCCTTTCCCAGAAGAGGAGGTAAAGTCCCAGAGTGGTTTTTACCCCTTCTTCAATATCCCATAATTTAAATACTGTGAAGTAAACTTAACAATACTTCAACACTCTGATATAAATTCAATAATCTTATGTTGTATGATAAGGGAATAAGATAGGACAAAAATGGCATTTGCCATAAATTTATATTCTTATACATATATACACACATATTTATACAATAAGGAGAAAAAACTCACGACAGTTATAGTTGTTGTTTCTCACTGGTCACACAGTCATAGCTGGTATTTAGAACTATCTTTTTCTACTACTCCAGTGTATTCACTTTGTCTTCCACAAGTATCTCAGCTAGTTGTAGTTCTTTACCTGGTGGGGTGGTTCAAATTTACTTTTCTGAAGGATCTGAGACATTAGTAGTCCTAACTTGGTTGGATTGTTGTAGTTTTCCATTGGCCTTAACGACAGGGCATGGAAATATCAAGGTATCTCCTGTATTCCAGACATAGCTTACCTTATCCCCATTGTGAAGCGATAGTCCAATTTCCTCTTGGTAGCCGGGATCAGTCACTCAGTCATCACAGTTACTCCCTTCTTTGCCTGTTGATTCAGAGGCACGAGGAGCCCAAAGTGGCCAGATGGCCATCTTAACATCTACTTCAGTGGAATCATTGTGGTATCTCCTGGCAGAAATATTTCTCCCTCTGGAACTAAGACTACTAGGCCAGCAAAGCATAAGGTTGTGGGAACAGGAAGCAAAATTTTGCTAGGGACACTGGGGATAATGGTGACAAGTGCCATTCTCTTTTCCAACCCTCATTTCCTGGCCCTGTGGATCTTGGCTATTGGAGAAGTAGTGCCATACATTAGGTGCTAATTCAGAGCATTGGCAGCCTTCTAGAGAACCTTGTCCCTGTCCTGCATGGTGTGGACACTTAGTTGGCACTAAAACAGTCATCAAAAAGCATTCTCTATTCTGTCAAGCCAGCTGCTTCAGGATAGTGGGGAACATGGTAAGAATAGTGAGTTCCACGCGCATGGGCTCATTGCCACATTTATCTTGCCATAAAGTGAATTCCTTGATCAGAATGAGTGCTATGTGGAATAACATGACAGAGGATAAATCATTCTGTAAGTCTGCAGATGGCAGTTTTGGCAGAAGCATTGTGTGCAGGGAAGGCAAATCCATATTTGGAGTATCTATTCCAATAAGAACAAAACGTACCTCTTCCACAATGGGGAAGCAGTCCAATATAATCAACCTGCCACCAGGTGACTGACTGATCACCCCAAGGAGTAGTATATATTGGGACTCTGTATTTGTCTCTGTACTGGCAGAGTACGTACTATGCAGGAGCGATAGCCAAGGTAGCCTTGGTGAATGGAAGTCCATATTGCTAAACCTAATCATTTTTTCCCTAACATCAAACCTGATCTCACCGTGACCCATTTTCCACCCCCTTCCTCTTAACGATCACTGGCCCTAGGGAGTCCCCACTTTGAGTCAGGGCAGGGTACATGAAATGAACCCACTGCTGGCCCTAACGGGGCCTCCCTTGCCTAGGGGAGCTCCCACTTAGCCCCAGGCAGGGTTCATAGGCATCATGAACTCCCACTGGACTGGGGGACCTCCTTGCTTAAGGCGCCCCCCCATAGAGTCAGGCAGTGATCATAAAATGAATCTCAGTAACCTCACTTTATTTTTTTAATGTCCACTCATTTTTATAAGTATTTTACCTTGTCAAGTTGGTCATTATTTAAATGACCAATATTTGTCATTGTCATTCTAACTTGTTTTACTACTCATAAGTCCCTGGAACTCCTTCCATTTTGATATAAATGGCAATAATCTCTCTTCCTTATGGTGAATGGTATTAGTGTGAACATACCACATTTTCTTTTTTCTTTTTTTTTACAAATAATCTTTTTTTTGTTTTAAAGATTTATTTATTTATTCATACACGCACTGGGCACAGTCAGAAGCATGGGAGGGTGAGAGAATTCACCAGAGCCAGAGGGGGAGCAGAACAGGTAGAAGGACTAAAGTACACTGCTGAGGGGAGCAGCGGGCGGCAGGAGAGGTCTGCGTGCTAGTGGCCGGGGAGCAGCCGGGGATTGAACCGGCACTGCAGAGGCTGCAGGCAGCTTCGCAACCCAGCACTCAACCGCTGCACACCGGGGAGGCCCCATACCACATTTTCTGATCCAATTCTCAATCAGTGGGCTCCATAAACTCATTTATAACCTCCATCCCAGCTTCTATGGCCACTAGTTAATAAGCCCATTGGGTGAAGACAGGAATGGCTGGGGAAAAAGTTTGGTATCCATAAGAAGTGTCATTATATCAACTCAATTATTAAAATCCTGTTGTATGCACTCATGTGGGACATAAGTATCTTTGCACGCCTTGCCCATATCCTATCTCTTATCCATATTTCCTTGTCACCAATTTTCCCATCATGTTCCTTCTTACTTCCATTCACCCAAATCATTGGCCATGACCCATGAATTAGCATGTAATTCATCATATGATCATTTCTCATTATAGGCAAAGTGCATAACCAGGTACATTGCTCAAAGTTATGCCCATTGGGAGGTTTTCCTTCATGGCCCAGAAAAAGGCTACAGGGTTGCATTGTCCATGTTCACGTGGTCCCTAAATATTGTGCAGAACCATTTGTAAGCCAAACCTGAGTCTTCTCTTGCTCTGTCAACAGATGGAGGGAACATCCCAAGAGGCCACAGTACAGGCGGGGAAAGAAAAGGTGGTACAGTGGGAATGAGGACCATGGTCCCTTCTTTATATAACTTACTTGTGCCTTCAGCATGTGCGTGGGCCCAGTCACATATAAAACCACTTTTTTTTGATGATGGAGAGCTACCAGGCATGGCTTGATGTTGGACAGCTCAGGTGTCAAGGTAACTCAGTGACACATGTTCAAGGATTCAGTTCACTATGGTCCAGCAGTAGGCTCAGAATCGCTTCTCAAAAGGAGAGCAGTTATCTGCAGAGGATAAAAAAGCTTTTTAGATCAGGGTTTTACTTCAAAATCCTAAGGGCCTACACTATGATTTACCAATAGGGTAAATCAGAGGAAGAGAAAGAGAAGCCAGTTCAGCAAACAACATCTCTATCTGCCACTGCCACCCCAAACACCATAGGTTCTGAAGGACCATGTGATTCAAGTACAGGGCAGCTTGTGTGGCATCCTGGACCTGTTGCAGAACCTTCTCTAATTCTGAGCCCTACCTAAAACTAGCTGTTTTCTGGATCACTTGATAAATTGGGCAAAGTAACACACCAAAGTGTTACTAGGCATTTTTTTGGCAGTGAGTGGCCAGATGTAAAGTTATCCATTACATAGAAGGGATAGCCTGACTTGCCTTACATCACTGAACCCCTAGAAATTTCACTAAGGTAAAAGTTTCCTGCACTTATGTCAGATTTGTTTCTCATACTCTGGCATGAAAATGTCTCTCCAATAAGTCTAGAGCACTTTGCTACTTCTTGATCAGCATGTCTAATGAACAGAATGTCATCCAGGTAATGGATTGGTGTGTTATCTTCAAGAAGGGAAAAGGAATCAAAGATTTCTCTAAACCATTTATGGCACACAGGTGAAAACTTGGTACACCCCTGAGGTAGGATAGTAAAGGTGTATTGCTGGCCTTGTCAGCTCAAAGTAAAGCTTCTGGTAGACTTTCTGGACAAAAATGGAGAAAAAAAAGATATTTGCCAATTTAACAGTTGCATGCCAAGTAAAGGGCATGTACTAATTTGTTCAAGCGATGAAACCACATCTAGTACAGCAGCTGCAATTGGAGTTGCCATCTGGTTAAGCATACAATAATCCACCATCATTCTCCAAGATCCATCTGTCTTTTGCACAGGCCAAATAAGCAAGTTGAATAAGGATGTGGTGGGAATCATCACCTCTACATCTTTCAAGTCCTTGATGGTGACACTAATCTCTGTGATTCCTCCAGGAATGTGGTAGTGCTTTTGATTAACTATTCTCTTAGGTAGAGGCTGTGGCTTCCACTATAATTGCCTTCACTCCACCTATCAGCAAACCAATGTGGGGATTCTGCCTGCTGCTGAGTTTATCTATTCTGATTATGCTTTCCAGAACTGGGGAGAAAACCACAAGATGGGTTTCAGGACCCACTGGGTGCCCTGTGGCATAGACCTGAAACTCTGTTGGTCACCTGACCACCTAACCTCCATAAATCCCTATTCTGATAAGAGGGTCACATAATTATGGAGGCAGATTAAGTCCCATAATCTTTACTCTGCAAGAGTCAGGAAAGCTCATGACTTTCCCCAGGAGACTCAGGAAAGCTGGTGATACAGTTGGAGGCCTGAGAGTTAATGGCATACAAACCAGTCTTATTCCAAAGACCTAAGAAGCAAGAGCATTAGGGAGCAGGAAAAGATTGATGTCTCAGCTCATCAGCCAGGCAAAGAGGAAACAATTACTCTGCTCCTCTTTTTTGTTCTATGTAGGCCCTTAGTGGACTGAATCATGTCCACCCACACGAGAGAGGGCAATCTATTTTTCCAAGTCTAATAATTCAGATACTAATCTTTTCCAGAAACACTCTCACAGACACACCCAGAAAAAAATGTTTAACTAGATATCTGGGCATCTCATGATTCAGTCAAGTTAACATTAAAATTAACTATCACAAATGGTTACCTTTGGAGGAATGTAAAATATGAGGAGCATGAGGGTATACCGGGGTATGATAAATATTCTACAACTTGATCTGCATGACAATTACCTGTGTGTAATTTGTAAGCTGTACACTAGTGATTTGTTCACTTTACTGTATGTAAATTATACCACAGAAAGAAAGGAAGGGAGGGAGGGAGGGAGGGAGAGAGGGAGGTGAGGACAACTTCCTAACTATTTTAGAGAGAAGAAAATGAATAAAAGAAAATTTGATCAATCTAAGAATGCAAGAATAGGTGAGGAAAGCAGAAAAAACCCTGTGTCGTCACAGCTAAGGGACTGGGCAGTCTATCACAGTGTGAGGGAGTGTGGTTCATCAGGTCTGGCCTCTGTTGGATCATTTAGACAAGCAGCCTTCTTGGATGCCTGTAAGGCCAAGAAACTACCTGTGGTTTTTTGCTGATGTTGTTATGGGGTGGGGGGAGGGGGGAAAGAGACTATGGGAGCATCAATAAAAGAACAAAGCACTGTTGCCTAAGCAACTAATGAGGTTTGTTTGGGTAATTTTGACTTTGTTTATCCTGGTAATGTGTGATAACAATAAAGGAGACAAGGATACAGGATAAAGAAAATGTCTGCTGTTGGTGACAGGAAAAGGACAAGATTTTTGAGCAAAAACTAGAAGTCACCAAACGTTGGTTGCTCTGTGATGTTTAGTTTAGGCTTATGCATATAAAAAGTATCCTTATTGAAACTATTTCTGGGAAAAATAACTTTTTTGAATAATCTGAAAGTCTCCTGTTCCCACCCCCTTTCTCTCCTTAATTTTTAAAAAGCAGACTTTTAAAATGTGAGCTTCATGAGAAGTGAAACTGGGTCAGGACCTGAGATCATTGTTGATGTCTCCCCAGAAGCTCATGGTCTCTTGGGTTTCTTTCTGTGCTCTCTTGCCTGGTTTCCTCTATAAATTTGAGCAACCTGTATTGTTGAGCCAAGTCTGCATGTCTCCAGAGTCTGCTATTACCAGAAAGTAGTTTTAGAATCTCTTAGTACAAATTCTTGGAAATCTGACTGACTTAGAACAATTTGCAGATTGACAGTTTAAACAGAGCCTACTAAAACCTTGACCTTTACATTGTCACCAAGCAAAAAGACTACATTTCCAGTTTCCCTCAAATCCACGAAGAGGCCTAATGTTAAGTTCTATTCAATGGGATATACACCAAAGTGTTTTTAAGTTTCCTGGGAAATTTCTTTGGGGTAGATGTGATGATAAGGTGATGTTACCAGGCAGGGTGAGGAGCACCCCAAAACTCCCAACCTGCCTGTCCTAAATAGGTTCTGCCATCCACCTCACCAAGACAAAAGATACTCTAGCACATAAGACCTTTAATGGAAAGGAAATTTAATACAATTAGTGTGCAATACACAGAAGGGAGAGAGTATAGTTTCCAAATCAAGTACCTAAAGTTACCCATCCCTTCATGGGTAAATGCCCAGCCAAACAGGTTGGCCCAGAAGCTTGCCACAAATCTCAAGCACCTCCTGGCGGGGACCCATGGAAAGGGAGAGAAGGGGCCAGGCAAGTCTGGGACCAAAGGAGCAAAACCAAAATCAAAATAAACGCTGCCATGTTAACCTCCCCACGAATCTCTCACCCATGTTGGTTTCAAGGGTCCTCTTCCATGTCCTCCAAGTCCTGGTACCAGTCCCAGGCCGAGAAGCAAGCACAACTTCCTCACATGTCTCTGCTCCCCATGCCTCCTCCAGCTCTCCTTCTTGCTCTCCATCTTCTTGCAGTCTCCTCCAGCTTCTCCTCCCTGCTCAGCTCACCCTTCCTTGGGTGGGGCTGGAAACCTAGAACCACCCTTCCCCTGAGGACCATCCGGTAACATTGAGTGGAGCTCTAACTGCAATGTTGGAGCACTGAGCACAAAAGCCACTTTCTTGAGAGAGCAGAATATAAGCAGAAGAGGCTGAATAACTGATAAAGTCCCCTACGCTATCCCTGGACGGCCTCCCTCCAGGCTTCTATTATGTGAGAGAGAAACCTGTGCCCACCTTGTTTAAGCAACTATTTAGGGGAGCTTCTATTACTTGCAACTGACCCTCAACCTGATACTTTCCTCTGATCCAATAAGCTGTGACCAGAGAGACAATTGCATGTGCCCAGGTACTGAGTCCCCAAGTCTGAGTGGAATTGCCAGGAACATAGGACCTGGCCAGAGCAGGCAAACTGTTTAGAGTATTCAACATACTATTACCTCTGGGTGTGTGTAGAAGGGAAATACTGGGATGCATGAAGAGTTTTGGGGACAGCTGATAATGTAGATTGGGCATCCAGGCAAAAACTATATATAATTCCAGAGAAACCAGCTATGAGTGGTGGGTTGTGGGGACAGAATCAAGTGCCCTGAGCAGAAGGAAGTCAATTGGTCTGCCAGTAATTGAAGAAATATTGGTTACATTTTTTTCAGAGATCTGGTTAACTCACTCCCTTTGGCTTCTTATAGGTGACTTATAGGTTGCAAAGTCACTTTAAGATAATAAAGCCCCCAGGCCTGGTAACAAACAGCTGAGGTTTTTCAAGAAAGGGCCCACTTCCACATTTCAATCAGTTTTTCCTGAGTGAATGATAACTGCAGGAAACGGGTTTTAAATGTGTCTCCATCTTTCATACCCTGAAGAATAAAGATGAGAAAAATCAAGGGGAAGGTACTGGAAGTGCTACATTCATTGCAAATATCTGATGAGTTCTGAGACTCCTGCAGAGGTTTCCCAGAACAACAACTCCCAGGAGATACAGGTCCCACCACCCTTTCCTCCTTATCTCTAAAAGCTCTTAATGGACTGAGAAAAAATTAGTGCAAACATCAGTTGGTTTGCCTGCACCCAGTCAATAAAAAGAACTACAATATATGTCCTTTTAAAAATAGTCTTTCTTCTATACAGCTGGGGCCTACTGGCCTCTGGCCTTTCTGTTAAACTTCTTTTCTTCCTAAGCAAATAAAATCTTTAAAAGTAGGTATATCACCTTTGTCTGCCGAAGACAGTGCCTGCACCCTGCCTGCAAAGCCTTCGCCCTCAAAGCTGTCACCATCTTTAGGTCACAGGCTCAGCAGGTTCCAGCTTAACCACAAATGTCAGACACCTGAAAGCAGCCATTCAAAAAGAGATCAGTTGTTCTCCATGTTCACAAAAATTTTTAAATAGAAAACAGAGGGTTGGGGGACGGCTGCCTATTCAGGCCTTAACAGAACACTATAGACCCAACTTACCTTAACAGAAAATCTTCTTAGAAACAAAGACCAGCCAAAAGAGAAGAGCAACAGCTATATATTCACAGCTTGCTGTGGCACGGAAGGGGGCCGCTGTCACTGCAAGGCAGGCAGAGGAGGGAGAAAGCTATTTATAGTGGAAAAAAGGAAGACCGCAGGTGTGCCCTGGTTGGAGGTGGTCAGTGTAGGGATGTTGGAAACTGATTAAAAAGAAAGGGGTATCCTACGTGGCACATATTTGGGGGGGGGGGGTGTGCATATTTGACTTTCTCTGGTAGGTCCTAAAAGGAAAATAGAACAAAAGCTAGGGGAGCTGTCAGTTATCAATCAAGTCCTGGCCATTTAAAGCTGGTTGTAACAGGAATGAGTTGTTCGGCTGTCTGGATTGCTACTGAGATAGCAATTTAGCTTCCTGCAGGGGCGGACTATAGCAAATGGCTCCTGGACCTGGTTGGTTTCCTGGGCAGGTTGTTGTTTCTAATGAGGTCAAAGGTCTGTTTTTATATGTGATCCGCCCATTGTTTGTATATTCAGTCTCTTTTCTGCCCGGCCAGTGAGGTGATTCCCAGCATTTCTAGATGCCATTGGGGGAGGCAGCTAATTATTTTTTTTATGTTTATATAATTAAATATTTATTTATTTTTCAATTTTATTTTTATATTTCCCATACAATAGCAACCCCCTTATTTTGACCCCAATCCCTCCTTTCCCCGTCCCCCAACCCCCATAGTGTGTCTCTGGTTCATAGTTGTTTGTTGATTTTGATTTTTTCTTTCTTATATTCTTTTTCCTGGTCCCTTATTTAGGTTTTCTAGATTCCTGCTATGAGTGAGACCATCGGTATTTTTCTTTTTCTTTCTGGCTTGTTTCACTGAGCATGATCCCTTCCAGCTCCATCCATGTTGCTGCAAATTGCATGTGTTTATCTTTTTTGAATGCTGAGTAATAATCCATGGTATATATGTACCACATCTTCTTGATCCAGTCATCTATTTTGGGGCATTTGGGTTGTTTCCATAGCTATTGTAAATAGTGCTGCTATAAACATAGAGGTGCAGGTGCCCTTTGGAATTAATGTTTCTGTGTCCTTTGGGTAAATACCTAGGAGTGGAATTGCTGGATCATATGGAAGCTCATCTTTAGCAGGTTAAGGAATCTCCACACAGCTCTCCATAGTGGTTGGACCAGTTTGCACTCCCACCAACAGTGCAGGAGAGTTCCTTTTTCTCCACATCCTCACCAATATTTGTTGTTGCTAGTTTTTTTAATATGTGCCATTCTCACTGGTGTGAGATGGTATCTCATTGTAGTTTTGATTTGCATTTCCCTGATTACAAGTGATGTTGAACATTTTTTCATATGCCTGTTGGCCATTTGTGTTTGGAGGCAGCTAATTTTTATAGGTTATGTAGGTGTCCAAAAAAAGGCTGGTCCACTCTGGTGCACAGAGAATTTTTTGAGCTAAGAGCAATGAACTTTCTAGAGACTGTGAGAAACTTTTGTGCTTGTCTGAGTTCTTGACTCTTCCCCAAACTAGGAAATGATAGTTATACCTAAGCTTTCTCCCTTCCCCAATAAATGAAGCAACCACTGCTTCTTTCTATGACCTGGAAGAATGTAGTTTGGAGGTGTCATCCAGGTATAAGTGTTATCAGTAGACATGTTCTCTCTATGGAAGAATCTCTTTTTTTTTTTTTTTTTTTTTAAGAATCTCATCTTTAAGGAGTAAAGATGTATTCAGCCTCCCCCTTGTCATCTGTAGTCCACCTCCCCTCTCCTTGGTGCCTCAGGCACCTCAACTCAGAGGATTTATAGCCCTTTTCCCCTAGTTTATGGCAAGATCAGCATAGTCATTGTAGCTTCCCTGCATGTTATGAAACTGATTGTTGTTGTTTTTTTCTTACTAACCTATCTGATGCTGTTTTGATTACTCATTCAGCCTGAGAACGAATCCAGAGAGCAGTGGGGAGTTTTCCCCTGCACCCCAACAGCCACCCTGTTCAAAGCCTAAGGATAGCTTGTTTAGAGGTTCTAGCAGGGGAGTGCAGCTACCAGTACACCCTTGACCGAAGACCCAGGAGGGATGCACGTGGAGCGGTGAGGGAGGAAGGGACACCCGCCTAGCCAGCCAGATCAGCCGAATCAACCCTGGCGATCAATGGGGTGCCAGATGTCGCAGCCAGATCGCCCTCACATTGGGGTCAAAATAAGAGGGTTGTAATTGTATGGGGAATATAAAAATAAAATTTAAATTAAAAAAAATAAACTGAAAAACAAAAAACAAAGCCTAAGGATATACTGCTTATATGAACCCTTAGTTTGATGCCCCAAGACCCAGAGGTGCAGAGGAAGATAGAGCTTATGGCAGCAGCAGAGCCCTGTCAGCAGAGGAGGGAGCAGTGCTCAGTGATTCTCAGTCCCAGCTGCCAGTTATGACCTGAGACTGCTTTGACCAAACACTGATATTGGGGCCCCACCCCACCCCACCCCACCCCACCCCACCCCACCCTACCCCAAAGATTCTAATATGAGAGAGCAGGACTGAGCATCAGTAAATTTTTAGGACTCCCTAAGTGATGCTCACATGCAGCCCAGGCTGGCAGCTACTGACCAAAATGAATCAACCTTTCAGAGAGACGGGGAACAAGTATTTAGCAATTAGCGAAACGAAATTAGGGCGTGCGGCCATGACCACTTTCGCAGGAAGTCCTCAACCTTTTAGTCTTGTAATGTTGGGCTTTAGAAATAGAGTAGCAAATAGACAATGGCCATAGAGGATAAGCCTACCTACATAAAATAAAATAAGGAACAAAACTGCTGCCGAAATGAATATACCTATTCTGAGCAGCCTGTTTTTATTTTTATTTTTAACCATTAAAAATGTATTCCCCCTGAAAAAAAAAAAAAAAGTATTCCCCCTATTTAAAATGCCATTTTAGGGCCTCCCCAGTAGCGCGGAGGTTGAGCGCTGGGTTGCGAAGGAGGTTGAGCGCTGGGTTGCGAAGCTGCCCGCAGCCTCTGCGGCGCCGGTTCGATCCCCGGCTGCTCCCCGGCCACCGGAGGAGGGTCCCACATGGCGCGCAGACCTCTCCTGCCGCCCGCTGCTCCCCTCAGCAGTGTACTTCGGTCCTTCTGCCTGCTCTGCTCCCCGCTCTGGCTCTGGTGAATTCTCTCACCCTCCCGCGCTTCTGACTGTACCCAGTGCTTGTATAAATAAATAAATAAATCTTAAAATAAAATAAAAATGCCATTTTATCATGACATTATTCCTCACTGGTTGTGATGACTATTTTTTTTTTCATTCTTGCACGTTTCTCAAACCTCTAAACAGAATTCAGAAATTCTATATGCAAAAATTGTATTTTGAGCATAGGCACTCCAAAATCTCAAAAGAATCACGCATTCATTCCACACAGCTAGTATTCATTTTTTATTTCTAGTCATTTCTAAATTTCAACTGTGCCAGTATATCTGAATCTGAGGCAACACCACCCCCTGGTGGAAATCAATAAAAAAAAATCCACATTTGGTTTAACTGGAGTGCTTTAAGATCACGAAATACTTGGCAGTCTCTCTCTCTCTCTCTCTCTCTCCCCTCCCTCCCTCCCTCCCCCTCTATCTCTGTCTCTCTTCCCTCCACAGAATGTTCTCTAAAAAATGGAGCTGTCTTAGGGCCTTTCTCACTTTCTCATTGCCAGCCCCCACCCCCGTACCCCCCAAGATGTCCAAAATAGAACTTATTATCACTAAACAAGCTGTCTCCCAAAAGAGTTTAAATTAAAATTACATCTATTTCTCCAACTCTTCCTTGCCTCAGTGAATAACACCTAATTGACCATTCACTCAAATAAAAAACCCTCCTAACATAGACAACACACGTAAACAGATTAAAAACCCAGAGTCAGGAAACCAGATTAGAGATATTTAATTCAGCAATTCCCAAACTCATTGATCATGATACACATTTCCCCTAATCCTCATATTTTTTAGCAACTTGCAGAAAATTCTTTGGTTACATTTCATTCTGAATGCTTGCTCCACCTTAATTAGTAAATTAGCCATTGGCTTCACATGCTTTTCAATCTTCAAAAATGCTTAGGCAAAGTCAAACATCCAACAAGTCAGCTTTCAATCATTTGTGGTAATGGAAAGCACGATCCAGGTGATTGATCTCAGACAACTAATTGAGTTTATGCTACCTTGGTAGGCAATGTCATCCCTGGCCTCTACCATCGTGACCAGTCGAGGGGAGGAAGCAGTTGTCACTAGTACTAGCAGAAATCATGCTTTGTCGTCCATTAAATGTGATAAGTCTGTATTGCATGATCACCGTATAATTTTATTTAGAGAGACTGTAATGCTCACTTTACTATAACCTATAAGCATCACGGACAGCTCTGCAGCTGACAGTGAGTTAAGCGTTTTCCATACATTGTCTCTTCCCATGGATTTACAAGCCAAAAAGTATCAAGACCCCTATAGCTTTCACCCTCTGTATAAATCAACACATATCTTTGGGTAACAAACCTAAAAGAAAACTTGCTTTATAAGAAATATTTTAAATAAAAACAGTTTATGCCCCATCACATTACTGCTAGACTTAAATCTACTGCTGGGTTAGTACTAGATTAGATTAGCATAGCAGTAAATCTACTAAGGCATAATGCATCTCTTCTAAAATTGAAGACAAGGACATTTTTAATGAAACTTTCAAGCATGAAAAGTTATTTGAATCTTTTCTGGTGCCTAGCTTGTTTCAGTCAACAGTCTCCAGTGCTGTTTGCCATCATTTTATGTCACTTATAGCTGTGACTTGGGAACAGTGGTCCTGAGGGTATGGACACACTCCTTTACCAACCTGGCAGCCTCCAGAGCTGAACCCCAGTGCACAGAGATACCCCCGCTGCCATGACCATAATGATGGACCACAAGCAGCCTCTGGCCATCCCGGACGAGCAGCTCTTTCTGCAGCCGCACGCCTGGCCTACAGGGTCTCAATCCCACCTTCTCCCTTATGTTGCAGGCTCCATGGAGGGAGGGCTCGAGAGCACAGCACCGGGAAAGAATATCTCTGCTAACTTCTGCATCTGGTGACAGATTCCAGTCTCCTTTTTGCCTAGTTCCTCCCAGGGTTACGCTGGATGCACCGGGGTAAATATACATCAGCCCACTCCCATCTCGGATAAAATGCTTCACCCAGGGAGCGTGGACTTTGAGCACTTGGCCCCTTACAGGGAAAATCGTCAAGTCTCCTGCAAGCTTTCTGCTTCCAAGTCCTGAACAGTTGACCACGATGTCAAAGGATGGGTGAAGCTCCCACAGGTCTTCTATTCGTCGTGTTAGCATCAGTGCCCCATCTCCTGTTAACCTGAGGGGAAGGAGAGACAGTGAGGGGAGCCTCAGTAGCTTCCTACCCGACCTCTTTCAGGACATAATACAGAACGTGAAACAGAGTCCAAGCCAGATCTAGCCATCCACCTCCTGGCATTGATGGAAAGTGAGGATTCCTAAAGTTGAGCCAAAATAAAAACCCATCTCAAAAATTCAAAACTAAGAAATTTATATGCCTTTTCCTGTGGAACCAAGCATAAGTATTCTTAGCCATTGCTTTGTGTAACTGCCATTTTAGAATTTTAGGTTTTGCTGTCCCTGGAAAGACTGCATTCCAGAGATAGTTTCGACCCTCACTCCACCCTTACTCTCCAGTCACCAATGAGGGCGAACTTGCTGTAATTGGAACTGCAGGTTGGAGCTGCATCTTGGCCTGGCCAGTCAGCTTAGAATGATAGCCTGGCAAAGTTGGAGAACACATCCTTGTAGCCAATGAGTAACTGCCAGCATAATTTAACCTTATTAAGACCCCTGCTTCCTTTGTTAGAGGCTCTCGGTATCTGCCACTGCGTTGGTAGGTGCCGTGAACCCAGACTCCAGTCTGAAATAAACTCCCTTTTGTGTTTGCATCAGCTGTCTTTGGGTTCTTGGAGGCTATGCTCAATGAGTCTGCTGACCTTGGACACAACATTTCCCTTTTTTTTTTTGATTCATAGTTTCTACATCATTATTGAGTCATTTAGTTAACACCTGAATTTACTGCCTTGGACATTTTGCCTCATGTTGTTAATTGTTGGTTGTTCTTTTGCAAAAGAACTAGTCTCCCCAACTAGACAATTGGTACAGGGATCGTGTGCCCCCCCATTCTGTCTGTCACAGGGGTGTTAACATGAGATTAACACAAAGTATCTTCAGCTGATAAACTAAGTGCCAATTGTGATCGGTAGTGATGTTTTTTGGACTAAGTATAATCAATAACAAAAAGAAATGGCTTGCCCAGCTCCTATAATCTCTTTAATTTTGGTAAAATCACATAACATAAAATTCACCATTGTTATAATTTTAATACCTTAACATTGTTACATAACCACCACCACCCTCCATCTGCAGACCATTTCATCTTGCAAAACTGAAAGTCTTAACAGTAACTCCCAAGGCCTATAGATGTGATATCAGGGCTTCTGTTAAATGCCTGAGAGCAAGGCACTGCCAAGAGACAGGAAAGATGTGGGAGGCACAGTGCCCTTCCTCAAGGGCTGGCAAAGGAACTGGGAGATGGAAGGGCAAATAGGTAGCAGAATGATGTAAATGAGAGGTGATGTAGAATCAGAACTCACAGGTTAAAATCTCACATCTCTCTCACATTGTCTTTAAGAATTTGGCCAACTCACGTCACATCTTACCCACAGTTTCCTGATGTGTCCCAGGAATAAAGCCTTCCCTGCCTGCCTCAGAGGATGGCTGTGAAATTTCAATGAAATGATGGGCATGAGGGTATTTCACAAGATATTAAGCACAATAAATTCTAGGGGACTAATGCCAATAAAATAAATTTCTCAGCAGAAGAGTCTATGTCATATGCTTCTCACCACCCCCGTGACCTAGTACCTTAGTCCCCAATACCTTCTGCACTTGACCTAAGCGTCTCCCAATACTGAAGACAACATGACATCCTGGCTTGGTATATGATGGTGCTTTTTATGTGTTGACTTGATTAACCATGGGATGCCCAAGTATTAAGGTGTTCCTCTGAGGTTATTTTTAGGTGAAATTATATTTTAAATTGTCAGTATGAGTAAAGCAGATTGCCCTCCTAATGTGGGTGGGTCCTATCCAATTAGTTGAAAGCCTGATTAGAACAAAAATGCTGACCTCCTCCTATCAGACTCCCCCTGGAACTGCAACATGGGCTTTTTCCTGCCCTCAGACTCAAATGAAAACATTAGCTCTTGGGCCTCCCTGATGGCACAAGGGGTTAAGCACCGCACTATGAAGCAATCCACAGCCTCTGCAGCATGAGTTCGATCCCCAGCTGGCCAGGAGGAAAACCACATGGTGCGGCAGACCTCTCCTGTCTAGCCCGCAGCTCCTCTCAGCAGTGTATTTCAGTCAGTCTGCCTGTTCTGTTCCCTACTCTGTCTCTGGTGAGTCCTCTCACCCCCTGCATCTCTGCTCTGTACCCCAACTCTTGTATGTATAAATAAATAAATCTTAAAAAAAAAAATAAAACATTAGCTCTTCCTGGGTCTCAAGACAACCAGCTTTCAGACTGGAACTACACCATCAGCTCTCCTGGAGAGGGATCATCACAGGGCCCTCAGAAACGCAGCATGAAGCATCCTCCGTGTCACCAAAGCAGGACAATCCTGGTCTGGTTGGCATGATTTGCCTATTTAAGATGCCTGACAAAGAGACAGGCTCACATGACATATTGCCTCTAATTCATTTCCTGGAAGGGGCAAATAAAAAGCAGCAAAATATGACTTCACTGGCCGAAGATATTAAATAAGATCTATGTAGCCAATTAAATCTCTGAGGGTTTTGTTTTATTTGTTTTGGATATTTTGAGCATTATTTCTTTTGAGAGGGAGATGATCCCTTTTGTCTTTGGACAACGGCAAAGATCTAATTTGTGGTTTAAAAAAATAGTTTTTCTATTGTTTCAGTAGGAGAACATTTACATTGAAAGCCTTGTTGTATGGTTTGCTGAGTGAAATACCTGGTTTTGATTGGGAACATTGCAGGCTGAGCACTCTCATTGTGTGGAAGAGGCAGGAGGCAAGAAAACAGACCCTGGGGGTGAGGAACAGGCAAGGATTATGTGGCTTCCCAGCAGGGCCGCCAGGTGAGGAGAGTGGGTGGCAATCTACACTTAGCCCTGAGGGTCTCACCCCCTCACTGTGGTGCGGCCCTGCCTCCTACCTGGCCTGAAATCCTGGCTGGAAATGGAGGTTCAGGGAGTTCCTACCCTACAAAGGCTCCCACCTGAGGGCAGGGGATCCACGGCCCTTTTCCTTCTCCACTTTGAACTTTTGGCCAGAGGCCAGTCCCTGATGGAATGGGGGACAGATAATCCCAGTTGTCTGGCAGGGCCTCATACTGGGGAACAGGAGGAAGCCTGTGATATCGGGAACACAGGGGAGGCGCTAAAAGAGGAAGGATGGCTGGGCCAAGCCTCCCTCTTAAAGCTTTGTGCAGCAGATCGCCTAGACTTTCTGTCTGAGGCACTCATGTCCCAGCCTGCTGTCATGGTGGACATGTATATCAAACAAATGAAAAAGGCCTCTGTGGGGCACAAGAACAGTGCCTAAGGCTTCCTCTTACTGACTCTGGCACCTAAAAATAGACAGAAAGCAGCTTGTTTCCAGGCCTGAACTCCAGCCCTGTGGGGTTGCCGTCAGGAAGAGGCCCTCACCGACACCAAGTCCCATTCTCTTGGGTTATTTCAAGTAGAATAAATTGCTAAGAGCAGATTTCCAACTAATGAGAGGGCAGCGTGATTTTTCCAAGACCTTTACCCCATGGTTAGTGGTTAGGCCTCAAAGTGAGATTATTATGGAAATAAAGAGTCAGTTTTCTATTAGGTGCTACTTTAGAATCAGGCAGAACAAATTACTCAGATAAAATTTGTTTCCATGTGAAGATGGCTGAGGGTGGCCCCAGAACTAAAACACTCATTCTCAGCAAGAGCGGCGGCGCATCAGGGACCATGACCATGCTGGGGATTGGCCCTCACTCGAAGTCCAGCCTGGGACACCCACCCTCTCCCCACTTCCACCCCTACTCCACGTAGGAGAAGTTCCTACTGCCTAGAGCAGCTCCAAGCAAACTGGGAAACTTCAGAAGACCCCTCAGAGGAGGAGTCATTTAAGGGGAGGCTGGCTTCCTGCTTCTGCCCCTCCCACAGCAACATCCCTTCTGCCATTTCTTCAGGTGCCTCATTCTCCTTCTCTGCCCCATCAAAACTGTCCCCATCTCTCCCAAGAACCTCATCTACTATTCATCCTTTACAACAAACTGACAGTAACGTGCCTTGCCTCCCAGGAATAATTTCTGTTTAAGTCTTCTGTCTAGACTTTAGAGGCATTGTTCAGTGACAGACGGGGAGAACTCTCCTTGCCTCCCACCCCCATTACTGTTGCTAAGACTCAGAACACTCTGGCTAATATCAGCTGGACAGGCTTCCTTTGCTATCCAAAAGCAGAGCATTTGGAAGGTTAGTTCTAGGATGTGAGAATGCTGAAAATTATTCCATATAAACTGATGGTAACAGTGTTCCCAAAGCCAAAAAGTAACCTACCAAATCATATCAAATAGGATGCTCTACTTTCAGATTGTGGGGGAACCCGTTCCTTCCTTCCATTGGGTCACCTAGAGGACCCAGTTCTGGCCTTTCTCAGCTGCCTGAGAAATGAGGATGTGTGGCTGAGGGGTATGCTCTGTCAGAGCCCTCTCCCTCACTTCCAGGCCATGAGCTAGGGACCCAGAGCCCCCATATTCCTCTGCCCACTTCCAGGGCCTGCATTGTCTTCTCCTGAGGGACAGACCATGCCATTGTGTGTGCATCCCAAGCCAGAGGGGTGGGTGTGGATGGAGCTTGAGTGTGTGGGCACGGAAGGCCCCTCACTGCCATGTCACGGTGCAGCACGCCTGGGAAGCCAAGACTTCCACAAGTAAACACGGTCTTCAGGTAGTTGCAGGCATATTTATAAAGGTAAAAGGATACATTATATCTTATAGAGCGGCTTGTTAGTTTAACTTGAACCTTTCAAATATTTACACATCACACTGCACTTCAGTTTTTTTTCCTTTCCCAGACTGGGCAGGTAAAGGAGGGTCTAATGTTAGTGTGTTCTCCAGCTACATCAAGAATTGCAACAGAGGGAAACTTCAGGGATAGTGGGAAAAGGAAGAAAGGAGTCAAGGCACTTATTTCTACACCAAGCCCATACATTTAAATTGTGACATTGCCTCGGGTTTGTAGTAAGGAAAATATGGAGTGAAATATTCAAGGAAAGAAAATGTTTTTCCTCTCAAAATTAAGGTTTGTGGAATCTTGTTGTACCCAAAAGCAGATACATACAAACATAGCTTCATACAAACATAGCTGGAACTAGCAAATTAATATACTCCATATAATTTGATAAAAGGTAAAAGTGAGAAGAGTGGGGCCTCCCTGGTGGCACAAGGGGTTAATCACTGCATTATGAAGCAATCCGCAGCCTCTGCAGCACAAGTTCCATCCCTGGCCAGCCTGGAAGCAACCCACATGGCACAGCAGACCTCTCCTGTCTCGACCACTGCTCCCCTCAGCAGTGTATTTCACTTAGTCTGCCTGTTCTGTGCCCCACTCTGTCTCTGGTGAATCCTCTCACCCGCTGCATCTCTGGCCTGTACCCCAGCTCTTGTATGCATAAATAAATACATCTTTTTAAAAAAGAGCATTTAAAAGAGAAGAGCATTTAAAAACTACAAAAATATTAGCAAGGATGTAAAAAAAATTTAAAAATTAAAATAAAAAAATTTACAAAAATAAATCATGATACTCCTGACACATGCCTAATAGACTTAGGCTCTCTCCTCTGTGCTCCCCATCTAACCTCATAAATCTGTGCTCAGCCCTCACCAGATGTGTCATTGTAATTGTTACTATAGGTAAGCACATATATACACACCTATACACCATCTCTCATAATTAACTACAAACTCTTTAAGAAAAGTGATCATATTTTAGCCTTTTTTTTAAAACCAGCTTCTAGCATCATATCTCATATATATTTAGGGGTTTAACGAAGAATTAATTAATGAACTATATGAATCAATTATCCTATACCTTATATCTGGAACCAGATCATTGTTATCTCAAGTCACTTTTCCAATATTTATACAATAATTCACATTGTTCCTATTCATCTACCAAATAAACAGATGTGGAGATTAAAAAGGCCAATGTTTCATAACCAGCAACATGCTTGCAATTTCCATGCTAAACTAAAAATAGATTTACTGATGTTTCTCCAGTAAAGATACTCCTGAGATGCTTCCTAACTGGAAACAGGAATTTCTGAAAAATAAGCCAAAATGCAAGTTCAAGGTATTTGGGGTTAAATGTGATCAGGAAGCAATTACCTAATTTAGATAAGTCCTCAGTTCTAGAGTTCTTATTTGTAACAAAGAAATAAATAGGAAAATAGCTATTTTCTTTGTCACTAATGAGAAAAGAAATTCAAATTTCTTCTCTATAGTGAAAGGAAGAGATTTGTGGAAAGAGATGAGGGTGGGATAGATTTGGTGTTAATAGAGAGTAGACTATAATTTATAATAAGCATAAGTCTCTCATCCAAAGAACTAGAGCACATCATATAATTTTTTAGCTGAAAGCATAACTTCCCCATTTCATAGATGAGGAAACTAAATGATGTCTCAATGAGTGGGTTTTACTGGCAGGGGCAGGGCGGGGTGTTGGGGCACTAACTCCTGCATGGAGGTGCATGCTAGGGGATGGAATTGGGGATGTGACTCCCTCCTGAGGAACAGGCACTGCCTTTAGATGGCTTTATGGGGCCCCAGTCATTTGTGAGCAACCGGACTCAGCAAAAAAAGAGTTCAGTAAAAAAGGCCATTGAGGATTTTCAGTTTATGTTTCATGAGTTCCTATGAAGTTACTTACAGCTGAGAGATAAAGGAAGCAGCCAAGAGCCATTTCTACCAACCTTTTCTCCAACCACGGGAGGTAGACAGCACCTTCACACTTCAGGGTGGTGAAAGACTGGCCAAATACATGTTGGGGGAATCTCTTCAGCTCTGCCTCTGTCATTTTTCGAAATCCCAGAACCACATCAGCCCAGAATGGCACTTCCTCGGTAGGAGCAGTTCTAAATATCTGCCAACTGAAACACAGGAGACAGAAAATCTTCCTGATTTAATTCCTTAGTTTTATAAGTAGTACATCTCTAGTGAACGCCATGTGACAATCTGTAAAGTCTTTAAAAATCACACTTCTGGGACACAGGAACAGGAAAAGATCTGATTTTCTGGGGTTCAGATGCCTAGCAGCTAAATTTAAAATGCTTGTGATTGGGGAACTAAGATATTCAAAAAGCAGTGTGTCTTTTGAAGATTGAATTTGGTTCTTTTTCTAAAAAGCTCCTATCTGATTTTCTTTCTTTATTTACAATCACAGATTTTTGAGGAAATGTTTTCCTGTTTGGCATAATGCTTGGCATAAATGGAAAGCAAATCCTCAAAAGTTTATAGGTTGGCCTCAATTCTGAACAAAATATCTAAACTAGAATGAGCAGTGGTGGATATGCAGGAAGCACAGGTACAAGTTATGAATTAAGTTGTAAGTCGTCACATTCAGCTCTCCAGAAGAGAAGCCTAGAGTCTTCAGTAAGAGTCCTGGCCTTCCTAAGTCACCTGCATGGCTAGTGGTGGGTGGGGCTGCAAGAATATTTCTTGTTAATAGGAAGCTTGCCAATAGCTGCTAGGGATGTGGTTGGATTTGTAAGTACTGGGTTGTTTTCATCACTAGAAATAAATGCAAATCATGGCTGCAGGAAAATAGCAAGGAAATTCATTTCAGTGCAGTACATTAAGTCGATAATGATGTGGTCATTAATACACCAGAATTTCTCTCTCTAGTAATTCGTTCAAAGCAGCACCCCATGGAAGGTATAGTGTTTGTGGCAGAGCTCTAGGCTGGGCCCTCTTGTGGCCTCATTCTGCTACTATTGCTGGGCTGATTGCCTAGCTGATTGCTGATTGCTGGGCTACTATTGCCCTCTTCATCATCTATAGACCACCTGAACTCCACAACCAGATCCAGACCCAGGTTGCCTACTCCCTGCTGTTAAGTCTACTTTAACCACCCTCCACTCTTCCCTACCTCTTATCCAGTTCAGAAAATGGTACTCCATCCACCCAGATGCTAATACTGGAAACCCAGTGTCATCCTCCCTCACCTCCTACATGCCATCAACTATCAATCCCATAAAATTTCCTCTTAAGCATTTCTCAAATCCATCTGTTCTCTATTAACACCTAATCTATTCCACCCTCATCTTTTTCCACAAATCTTTTCCTTACCCTATAGACGAAATATTTTGAAAAGTAAATATGATGAGTTACTTTACTGTGTAAACTCTCCATTACTCTGGACTTTTTAGTTCTCCAACAATCGCCTTAGACCCAGGTCAATACGTAGACTGTTCCCTTACTAAAATGCTGCCCCCTCTGTTCCCGCTCTGTCTCTGCCTCCTTCACCTCCACAACATCATCAGACTAACCTACATTCATGCGCATGGTCTTTGCTGAAACTTTTTTATAGGTGGCTACTCATAACTTCCCAGTTATACTTCCAGACATATGTTTCCAGAGCACCCCGTTCTCATCCCTTGGAAGTTCATGTCTCATTTGTAATTCATTAGATTTATGACATTCCCTACAGATTACAAACTACAGGAAGGCAGGACCACGTCCATCTTTCTTAAAAATTCACTCAGACGTGGGCCTTCCCAGTGGCGCAGCGGTTGAGCGCTGGGTTGCGAAGCTGCCCACAGCCTCTGCAGCGCCGGTTCAATCCCCGGCTGCTCCCCCGCCACCGGAGGAGGGTCCCACATGGCATGCAGACCTCTCCTGCCGCCCGCTGCTCCCCTCAGCAGTGTACCTTGCTCCTTCTGCCTGTTCTGCTCCCCGCTCTGGCTCTGGTGAATTCTCTCATCCTCCCACACTTCTGACTGTACCCAGTGCTTGTATAAATAAATAAATTTTTTTTTTAAAAAAGAATAGCTTAAAGTATATAATTTTTATCTCCTCAGAGGTGGCAAAATCTTACTCTTGGAAGGACATTTGAATTTTGGACATAGCCATGTCTAAAGTTTGTGAATTTAACTGAGGCCTGTTGGCTTTGAACAAAAGCAAAGTATGGTCATAAATCAATGAGAATAATTTTTCTATGTTGCCCCTCAGCTGTGTTTGGAGACAGTTATTATATCAATCCAACTTCAGAAGGTAGTAAAGAAAAGTCCTTAATTTGGGTAGGGACTTTGGGAAACTAGTGATGTCGACATTGGTTGGTGTTTGTGATGGTAAAAGGAGGCAAGAAGAAGAGAGCAGAAATCTACTACAGGTGTGTACATTAGCAGAAAAGTCAGCAGTCAGCCTAATCTCAAAAGAGGAGAGAGAATAATTATTTTGTAACATTATAAAAGATGTTTTGAGAACTTACTAAAAGGTGCGCATCGCTCTGCTTTACAGAAGGCTACAGAGCATGCCTGTTTTGTCACATAAGTACCACAGCTGACTCGTGTTATCAAATGACATCAAGATATAAGTTTAAAGTGATTGGATGGTTAGTGATCTCTGTTTAAGAAGATGTGGAAAGTTATTGTCATCCTTTAAGTGCTACATTGTATTAGAATGTTAAATAGGATTTACTTTAATGCTTTCACTTAATCATGCATGTCTCTGAAATCAAATGCTATAATAAAAATCCAATGTAAGTGTGCTAAATGTTGCAAAAATATTTTTTGGAGGAGTGAGAGGAAAAAAAAGAAAAAAATATTTTTACTTTTTGGAAACCTCTCAAGATACCATATAAGATGGCCCTGTATCTTGGACATCTGCACCCATTCCAATGCCACACCAGTTTGCTTTCCATCAATCACATCATACCTTCAAACCACTGCAAAGTCCCTGGAGAAATTCAAAATAGTACTTGTAATGAGAAACTATAACATCTATTTATTGTTAAAAAGTCTAATACTGTAACTTGTGTTTCTTGAATTCTTTGGAGTAAAGTCTAAAATGTTCTAAATCCTCCTTCATCTAATTCAGCTTTCTGTTCACACCAGATACTCAATAATATTTTATGTTGAATTTAAAAGCTTAGTAAGATCACCATAAATTCTAAAATGACTTCAGATTTTTTCTCTTACCCAGACACCAGACAAACACCAGCATCTCTGGCTTCTGCGGAAGTGGCGATACCAAACAGGTAATCAAAGGTCTCTCTAAACCACTGCTTCTGCTTGGGAATGGGTGTGTCTGTAGTCACAGAGAAAAGCAACAGGCAGCTGTAAGAAGATAGTATCACCGTCACTAGGATGTGCTGTGACTGGGATGTGAGCTCTTTCCTAGAAACTGGGGTTGGGGTGGAGGAGAACAAAAAGGTCGGGAGGAACATTTATATAAAGTACCACATTATGGTGACCCAAGTTTTGAATGTTCACATATGCCGTCCATATCTGCTCATATCACGATTAATCATTAGAGGGCAAAACAACCAATCAGGCAAAATCTGGCATGCAAGCCAGCTGGAAAGAGACCTTAGACATTAGGTATATTCCAGAGGGCCTTGAAGTGTTCACAGACAATCTGAACAGAAGTAGTTCATGGCTGCAGTATCCAGCTGGTCACATAGTTGAGGTGATAGGAAGAAAGACCCAGGTCTCTTTCCTGGAGGCTGAAAACATGATGGGTGACAAGAGATCTGTGGGGTGCAGTTCAGCGAGGACAGATATCAGACCACACATCTGTGGGAAGCACAGGGAGCCCACCCTCCTGATACAAGGGAACAGGCCGCACTGTGGAGGCTGATTCCTTGAAAAGGGCCCCTCCATCTGCCTCCACTCCATGAATCATTGACCAGCTTAGAGTACCATTCCTGGGGCCAGAAATCCTGAAGCCCAAACAACACAATTTGGAGAGAACAGAAACTATGCAGGAGGAAGAAACTTTTAAAACTATTAATAACCTCAGAAAGATAAGAAAAGGTATTACAACCACAAACATAAATAAGATGTTGAAACAAAGAGAAATTTGGAAAATAAAGCAAAGAACTTTGGAATATTCAGAATGGTATCAAAGAAGTAAAGGAAATAATTCAAGAAGGTGAAACACAGAATTGAGAAAAATCTCCCAGAAAGTATAATAAAAAAAAGGAAGGGGAACCAGTCTGGAAACAGGAGTGGAGGGACAGGGGGAAGCTAAGATAGTTGAGAATCTAGGAGGTCCAGTATAATAACTATCCCAGAGAGACAGACATCAAAGGGAGGTGTCAAGAACAGTAATTTGAAAACTACTTCTCAAACTGAAAAACATGAATCTAAGGACAATGTTCATGGTCCAGATTGTGGGGTTTTGTAATAAATTTTGTAACCATTTACTTAAACTATTTGCACATATAACTTTAATAAAAAAGTAAAAGCTAAAACTAAAGGCGATGAAAGAATGAAAATGAGGAAGAAGAGACAGTCTATTTAATCCTCCTCTTGTTTCATGTGAAGAATACAGAATGGACAGTATGGACACATTTTTAAAAATTCAGTGCATCTTCAGACCTACATACATACTGATATTGACTGATTGTGTTCATACTGGCTTAGAATTTAGGATTATTTTAGACCCATTGTAAATAATTTCCACTCACTGGTATGAGTGGAAGTCTTAGGTGTTGCCAAGTGCAGTAGCCATTTGTGCTGTTCACACAAGACTTCTGGCTGCTCCTTCTGGGAGCCTATCCAGAAGGAGCATTTCCTGGCTTCCTTCTGAGAGGCAGGTGCATGTGACCAGCTCCTGGGAGCTATCTTCTGAAGTGATCATCATCGTTCCCAGGTCAGAGTCTCATTGCTGAGGCAATGAGAGGTTGGTTCAGAAGTCCCTTCCCCAAGGCACCCACACTAAGCACACTCAAGCCTACAGCTGCTCCATCAGGTTAGGTCCCTGGATGACAAGCAGAACCCTTGCTAATGCTTAATCGACATGTAGTGTCTTTCAACTGCTAAGATTTAGAGGTTGTTTTTGTACTGCTGTGTAAGTAAGCCTTTCCCAACAGGGGAGTCAGTAGGGTGTTTGTTAAATCTGCACATTATACCTATATGCATACAGTTGTCTTTGTCCAAAGAATTCCATTAGATCATTCTATCTAACATCTTTCATATCTGACATATCCTTCTCACCTGGATAAGCATGAGGAATAAGCATTCCAGCCGCCACATCACTCGTAGTCTCGGGAGTAAACTTGTCTGAAATGACCGTAACGGAGCATCCTGGGACCATTCTGGAAATGCATACAGCAGTGGACAGCCCCATCACACCTGCCCCCACAACTGCAATCCGGACTGTCTCCATGGATCTGTGAGGAAGGAGAGGGGAGGGTGGGCAATAAACCTTGCAAAAGGGGCTACTCCCTCCGGCACAAAGCTTGACGCTGCGTGTTCTTTCCTTAGGTCCAAAAAAGGCTCTGACTATAAAACCTATCCTGTCAGCATTTTTTCCACTAGATAGTGGGATCTGGGCAACAAAGGTTCAATGGAGTTTTAGACATTAGCGCAAAGCCAGCCTGGAGTTGCTTTGAGAATACACAACAGGTAAGTAGGTTTGCATTGGGGGATGATTTCTACACATTTCTATTCTCTCCTAAGCCACTTTCCCTGTGACTATAAGCTAGGAGAGGTTGGCAACGCAAGGAAGGTTGAAAAGGACAGTAGAGTTGCCATCTCTGCTCCCACAAACCACCCAAGGAGCAGCTATTAAGAGGACATGACCTACAGGCAGTTTAAAATGCAGCCCTTAGTGTTTACATATTGGTTTTTAATTATCACAGTATGACAGAAGTTTGAAGGACTGAACTCATCTTCCCTCCTATTCCCTGATTCTCCTCCTCTTCCCTGCCTCTGTGTCTGCCTTCTCTCCACCCCACCCCCAACTCCATTCCTGGAACAACCCCTTCTCCCATCACCTTTGAAGAAGAGACTTTCTACAGGAGAGCCTGGATGCCTCTATGGACTTGGGTGCTGATTCTGAAACCTGCAGAGCAATCCATAGTCTCCTAGACTCTTTCGTCTGTAAACCAGGCCCAATAAGTTCTTTTATTAGCTCCCTTAGGCCATAAATAAGAGAGACCCTCTAAGGTTGCCTCATAAAGGGGACTCCTTTTGAGAGTCCGTGTGGAAATGTAGGAGGCAGACTCCCAGGAGGCTGGGCTGGGCATCCTGAGACTGGCGCCCAGTGTGGGAGCTAGAGGGTCAGAAACTCAGACCTCTCCCACCACATTGCCTCAAGCAGCAGTCCACTGATCCCTGCTCCACCCTGCTTTCCAGTCCACATTGTTTTCCTGCTTGTCTTTCCACTGCTGTTTCTGCTCTCCTCCTCTCTGCAGGTCCCAGGTTGAAACTTCAGAGAGAGAAAATGCAATGCATCCCATCAGTCATTGTGATCCCTAGTGGATAGGTCTAGCACCAGGCCAGCTCACTGCCTTACTTACGCCAGACTGTAAATGTGCCCTTAGTCACTGTTGAGACAGCAAGAGCCAGGGCATCACGTCATGTGGAACAAATCATGGCCACTTACACGTAAGGTCCCTTGTACTGTGATACTTCAAAGTTCTCCAATAACTTTTAACCTGTCATTATGATGCAGTTGCAAATGACTGGTCTCTAAGAATTAACAAGTTTGTCTTCCCCCATCTCTTGCAATTGTTGTGCCCAAGGTCAGCAGACTCGGCAAGCATAGCCTCCAAGAACCCAAAGACAGCCAATGCAAACACAAAAGGGAGTTTATTTCAGACTTGAGTCTGGGTTCACGGCACCTACCAACGCAGTGGCAGATACCGAGAGCCTCTAACAAAGGAAGCAGGGGTATTTTAATAAGGTTAAATTATGCTGGCAGTTACTCACTGGCTACAAGGATGTGTTCTCCAACTTTGCCTGGCTATCATTCTAAGCTGACTGGCCTGGCCAAGATGCAGCTCCAGCCTGCAGCTCCAATTACAGCAAGTTCGCCCTCATTGGTGGCCGAGGGCGAGGGTGGAGCGAGGGTCGAAACTGTGGAAACTATCTCAGGAATGCAGTCTTTCCAGGGACAGCAAAACCTAAAATTCTAAAACGGCAGTTACACACAAAATGACAAAGCAAAGGCTAAGAATACTTATGCTTGCTTCCACAGCAATTTCCCCCTTATTTGACAAGTTTGCCTTCGTTATGACCCATCTCCCAGATAAGCATTAACAAGTTTGTCTTTTCTATATTCCTTGTTTGACAGGTTTGTCTTTATGGCCCAGCCTGTCAAATGAGCATTAACATGTCCTCCTGCATTTCAAGGAAGAGGAGTTAAACATCAGCTACTGAAGAAAGGCAAGCTGGCGCCCACCTGTCTCCATGCCGACCCCTTCCCCCTCCCCTTTTTTTCCCTTTGTATAAATACCCCTGCCCTCTGCCAAAGAGCAGGATGGCTGTCTTTGAGGCATGAATCTGCGGCCCTCATTTGCCAACAAATTAAACCACTTTCCTTTTCCTCAAACTCTGTTTCCTTTTATTGGCTGAGGGAAACTGAGGCTGGCGTTCGGTATCAATTTCTAGTTCTCAAGCAGAATATGCATTTCCTCAGCCAGTGGTTAATCTGATTGCTTGCCAATAGACTGGCAAGCTGAGAAGGGCAGGATTACATGGCAGAGGGACAAGGAGGGCAAGAGATAGAACCAGCACAGCCCCACGCGTGTCTCCTAGAGATAGAAGGCAGCCACCTGTCCCCTAACTGGCTTTCCTATTGCACATCAGCCTCCCCTGCCCAGCAACTTTCTCAAAATAGCGCTAATAAATTAAAAGGAAAAATAACCTGTGGCTACTAATAACCAGCTGCCAGGGAGGATTGGCATGAGCCAGAAGGTGAGGACATCTTGGCTCAGTGACCTATGAATCACTTAGTCCCATTAAGACACCACACACACACACACACACACACACACACACACACACACACTCACAGAGTTTTGCATAGAATGGCCCCTGAGCTGTAAGCAGGAGAACTCAAGTACCTGTAGTCTCTGCAAAGCCGCTTTGGTGAACCCACAGAAGTCTCTGGCTCCAACACTTGTTTCCCAGTGATTGGTTGGTCTAGTGCCCTGAGGGACAGGAAAGAAAAACTGCTTCCCATTGGGGAGTTCATTAAAGAAGTTGCCTCTAACCTTATTCTCTATTGGCCCATAGGCCTGCGTCTCTGTCACTCACTCCCAGGGAGAAGGGAGCCATTGACCTCTACTTGTAAGCGCTATGGGGTTGTGACTCTGCCAAGCCCCTGGGAGCTGGCCTGCCCTTTGCAGCCCTTTCTTTTCTAGTTTACAAACCCTCCATCTTCCCATAACCCAGGATTTCTCCAGCTGATTTGAAGGCATAAATAATGGGTGAACCTGTCCAAATTCCAACAGTGCTGGCTCATTTGGCTTTTTCCCACTGGAGCCTGGCTCTGCTGGGTCAGCTGGTGGGGGTGGGGGCAGGGGAGTGAAAGCAGAAGAAAGTTGTTGATCACTGGGATGATGACCTAATTACTGCTGGAAAAATTATTCCAGAGATAATCTAGAATAAAAAACAAGCAGTTCTTAAACCCATTTATTTCAAGAAGGAAAATAGTATTTGCTGAGTGTCCACCTTGTGCTAGACACTGTATTTTTAAATTTTTGTAAAGATTTATTTTATTTATGCATACAAGAGCTGGGGTACAGGCCAGAGGTGCAAGGGTGGGAAGAAGATTCACCAGAGACAGAGTGGAGAGTGGAACAGGTAGACCTACTGAAGTACACTGCTGAGGGGAGCAAGAGGTGAGACAGGAGAGGTCTGCTGTGCCACGTGGGTTGCTCCCTGGCCAGGGGATGGAATTCATGCTGCAGTGGCTGCTGAGACTTAACCCCTTGTACCACCAGAGAAAGGCCCTTGTATTGGACACTTTAAACCAACACGCTGGTTTACAGGGAGGCAGTTTAATGTAGCCAAATAATAATAATATTGTAACAAATATGTAGTTAGCATGAAATATTTGCTAGATACATTCAAGATACCATAGAAACATCCACCCTATAAGGGAGGTAATTTTACTATTATCTCCATTCTATAGATGAATAAATTGAGGCTCTAGGAGATACAGAGGTATGTATATGTATATATAAAGCTATTAAGTCAATCAACAAATATTTACAGAGCAGTCGCTCTCTCCAAGGCATGCTGCAAGGACAATGAGAGATTTAACAATTTCTAAAATGATGTTTTCTCCCTGGAGAAAGGAAACAGGCTGAATAACAAGGTCTTAGGTTCTCACTTTACTGGTGAGTGGCTGTAGTCAAAGAGTTGAAGTGATGTCCCCAGACTGCAGGAGAGCTCAGTTTCACACTCCTTCCTAACAATTTTTCAGAAGCCTTTTTACCTTGGGCTCTGGAGATCTTAAGCCTCACCTGTGCTAAGTATTAGGTGGCCTCACTGTCCACCCTGCCCCTCCTGCTCTGCTCCCACAGGTGTCAGTATCTCACCATGGGTTGCCTTTATGGTGTGTTTGTCTGCCAAGAAATAAAAGGGCAATATCTTGAATTCTTCAGACTATGGAGGAAGCAAGGCTCATGGAACCAGAGATTCAGTCCCTTATGACTACAGTTTGGGGCAGGGAAGGAGTGAGTTCAGGTCAACCTAAGTCTCTGATACATTGGCTAGCCCTGACTTAGGACACAGTAGGACGAGTGTATGTAGTTGAACCACTTCTTCCTTGTGAAATAAAACTTTCAAGACTTAATTATTGGAACATGCAAGAAAAATCCCAAGTTTAACACTTGACCCCTGCCAGAGAGAGGCAGGGGATGAGTGAGTAAAATGACTTTTCTTATAGAAATGCAGTGTGGACTTTCGAGATAAAATGAATGGCCATTGCTGACTTACAGATATGAACCCCACAACTCCCAGACACCCTGTGCGGGAATTACCATAGACATTGGATTCCATTATTGATCTTTCACAATCTTCTAAGAAAATGCTCCTCTTTACTATCTTCAAGAACTTATTAAATGGTATTCTGTATGGCAGAATGAATTAATACAGAATATTTTTTAAAGTCAGGAAAATATCAAATATGAACTAAAAAGAAAAAATTAAGTGACAGTAGAAAACCACGTTGAGAATAAAGAAAAATGAGATGAGAAAAAAGATAAAGAAATGCATTCCTCCTTTCTTCTCATGGTCTCTGTTTCCTTTGTTTTATTTTATTTTACAAAAGGATGAAGGTTTTTGCCTTTATTTTTTATTTTCCAAGTGTAAAGACCAACTGAAGAACTGAGCAATTATCTAGGGCACTGAATTAATATAAAAAGTCTAAATAAGTCAGGTCAAATCCCTCCTTTTTCACCTTAGCAATGCTTTTTAAGTGACACATGTATACAATTAATTTAATCTTTTTTTTTACTTGCCTCTATGATAATACTAATACTTTATTGATTCTAATACACTGGAAATCAGTCATTTCCAAGACTAAATTTCAAAAGCAAAGAAAAAGTAATGAACTTATGATGGAAGCACAGTAAAGAAAAATCACAAACCTATGGGAAATTTATTGTAAATATGAAACACCATCTTCTAAGGAAAAAATTATGATATAATTTTGCAGTTGAAATGTCCTGGGTATTAAACAATATTTGCAAAAGATGGTTTTAAGTAGAGTTGAGGGGAAAAATTAGTCCTTAAAAAAAAAGTAAAATCTTTCTGTAAATCAGTTTCAGAAAGGCAAGAATACTTACCTTTTATTTCTGACACTGGCAACAGATTGGTTCAGTACTTAAAGTCAGTTTCCTGGATGATCTGAAAACTTAAAATAATCTGCAAAATGATTGCATTTTACAACACATTAAAATGCCACCACTTCTCTATACTGCAAAAGACTTATGGAGAGAATTTGGTAAATGCAAGAAGAAGAAAAAAAGAATGTCAAACTAGAAAAACTCACTCTTGATCCCTAGCAGATATGTATTCCTTACTGGATCAAACACAAGCACATCTGTCTGCCTGTCAGAGTGCTGGGAGGCAAAATATCTTTTTTGTAGCTCTAGTTTTAATGGTTAAATTACGAAGAGAAACATTCGTTTTTTGACAGGACATTTCTGAATAAACCTTGAATTTAGAGCTATGATTCTCATAAGAGAGAAAAGAATAGCAGAAATAGACTGGTCAAGGGTTTTTTCAAAACAAACACTGTCACTGGTTTGCCCACTCCTCTCAGCACACAATCCCTGGGGGAAGACCCCCCCAGCCTCTGAGAGAGCAGGGGACCCTGAGGAGATATGATGTTCCTTCAGGCCTGCATGGTAGCAGGGAAAGGTTGAAAATTGGTGATATTAAAGAGCGGACATGGAAAAAATATTCTTCAGCAATAAGAAAGCAGTGTAAAACATGAGAATCCTCATCTTGGCTTTTATTTCTTTTACTTTTACGAAACTATTGTTTTAACATGTAAAAAAAAATTTTTAAAGACTATCTAAACAACATGCAGGAAAAGAGAACAATATTCTAACAAAGACTATAGTAAACGAGGTAGGGCTGGAAGGCATATGTGGAGCATTTATTCACTAAGACCAGGATCCCTTGAATTAACCACTTCTATTTTTTTCCAACTCAGTATTACCGGGTGTGGGAAATAATTTTCTTGAACTGATATCTTTTCTTTCATTCTGGTTGATGGTCTCCTCCCAAGTAGTTGTCAGAGGCTTTCCGCGGGTTTCTGGAAGACTTATTGTTAGCAATCCGCTCACTAAGGCCAAAATTCCACATACCAACTAGAAAGAATTTGAAAACCAACAGTGATAAGTGACACATCAGAAAAGAAGTCAATTCCAGGGCCTCCCCGGTGGCGCAGCGGTTGAGCGCTGGGTTGTGAAGCTGCCCGCAGCCTCTGCAGCGCTGGTTCGATCCCCGGCTGCTCCCCGGCCACCGGAGGAGGGTCCCACATGGCATGCAGACCTCTCCTGCCGCCCGCTGCTCCCCTCAGCAGTGTACTTCGGTCCTTCTGCCTGCTCTGCTCCCCGCTCTGGCTCTGGTGAATTCTCTCACCCTCCCGCGCTTCTGACTGTACCCAGTGCATGTATAAATAAATAAATATATCTTGAAAAAAAAAATGTCTTGAGAATTCATACAACAGAATTATAAAAAAAAAAAAAGAAAAGAAATCAATTCCAAAGAGCACCTGCACCCCTATGTTTATAGCAGCACTGTTTACAATAGCTAAGCTTTGGAAACAACCCAAATGCCCAAAAATAGATGACTGGATCAAGAAGATGTGGTATGGATCAAGAAGATGTGGTACATATATACCATGGAATATTACTCAGCATTCAAAAAAGATAAACACATGCAATTTGCAGCAACATGGATGGAGCTAGAAGGGATCATGCTCAGCGAAATAAGCCAGAAAGAAAAAGAAAAATACCGGATGGTCTCACTCATAGCAGGAATCTAGAAAGCTTAAATAAGGGACCAGGGAAAAGAATAACTATAAGAAAGAAAAAAATCAAAATCAACAAATAACTATGAACAAGAGACACTCTATGGGGGGTGGAGGGCGGGTAAAGGAGGACTTGGGATCAAAATAAGGGGGTTGTAATTGTAAGGGGAATATAAAAATAAAATTTAAATAATAAAAAATAAATAAATAAATAAAAGAAATGTCAGATTTCTAGGGTTTGTTATTGGTGTGGTTATATCTGACTCTTTGTTTCGTTTCTCTGTATTCCACACATCAGTGAAACCATCCACTATTTGTCTGTCTCCTTCTCACTTATTTTGGCTAGCATAATCCCTCCAGTTCCATCCTGGCAGTCACAAATTCAAGCCACCATAGGGCAGAGGAAGGGAGGGGGAGGAGAGTAAAGTGGGGAGGGAGAACAGTGGACAGTGGGGACGACTGTAGGTGCTTTGGTGGTGGGTATGGCTGTTCACATACCTCTGAAGGTATGACCCTGTACCTCTGAACCATATGCAGTGTTGTAAAACATTATTACCTCAATAGAAAAAAAATTTTTTCATTAAAAATACACAAAGAGGGCTTCCCCGGTGGTGCAGCGGTTGAGCGCTGGGTTGCGAAGCTGCCCGCGGCCTCTGCGGCGCCGGTTCGATCCCCGGCTGCTCCCCGGCCACCGGAGGAGGGTCCCACATGGCGCGCAGACCTCTCCTGCCGCCCGCTGCTCCCCTCAGCAGTGTACTTCGGTCCTTCTGCCTGCTCTGCTCCCCGCTCTGGCTCTGGTGAATTCTCTCACCCTCCCGTGCTTCTGACTGTACCCAGTGCTTGTATAAACAAACAAACAAACAAATAAATAAATAAAACATGCCTCTATTAAAAAAAAAATTAAAAAAAAAATACACAAAGAAAAAAAGAAAAGAAATGTATCCTTTAGTGAATAATAATTTCTGAACCTTTTTCAGAGGGCAATACATTCAACTTGACATAATGGCTGGTGTTTTTAATTCCTTGGTGAGAACATTGATACTTAGGTTGGATTTGGAATTCTTGAACTCTTCTGCTAGGCTTAATCAGATCACACATTAATTCCTTCATGAACACTGCAGAGTACCTACTCAGTAGACTCCAGCTACTGCCCACATCTTACTCCCGCAGGCCCTGTCCTAGGAGCTCCTTAGTGCACAGACCCTGTCTGCCTTCCCAGATTCCAGAGTCTTGTGGGAGGACCCAGTCCCTGAGCCTTAGGTTGGCACTTGATGTTCAGAGGCTGTCCTGTCAAGGCTGCTCCTGCCCCAGTGACCAGCATGCTATCGGTGCTCAAACAAGTGATGGGGAATGAATGCCAGGGTGCACTCATGCTTCAAGGAACCAACACCCACATGACTAGGGGCAACAAAACAAAGGCAATGGAAACTCATCGCTACTTCAAGGGAAGGAAACCATCTAATTTTCCATAAAAATTCAGTATTTCTTCCCTTTCCAGACTTTGACACATAAAAGGAAAAATTTTAAACCAGTACTAGGGTGTTTGTCTTTAAAAATACAAATGACATTAAAAATTGAAATCTCTAGTTGTTCTCTGCAGATTATTAAGAAAATGTTAGGGGCCTCCCCAGTGGTGCAGCGGTTGAGCGCTGGGTTGCGAAGCTGCCCGGGGCCTCTGGGGCGCCGGTTCGATCCCCGGCTGCTCCCCTGCCACCAGAGGAGGGTCCCACATGGCGCAGCAGACCTCTCCTGCCGCCCGCTGCTCCCCTCAGCAGTGTACTTTGGTCCTTCTGCCTGCTCTGCTCCCTGCTCTGGCTCTGGTGAATTCTCTCACCCTCCTGCGCTTCTGACTGTACCCAGCGCTTGTATAAATAAAAACAAACAAACAAACAAACAAACAAATAAATAAATAATACATGCCTCTTTAAAAAAAAAAAGAAAGAAAATGTTAGGTGGATTTTAGAACGAAATCTCTACACAACCTTCAAAAATACAATCCATCCTTACATAATTTAAACTTTTTAGCAAAAAAAAAAAAAGGACTGCTTGTATAAATCTATATAGTTGGTGGGATTATTGACCCCAAGAAGGAGAAACGTGAGACCTAGTGCCACCCCAACAGGACAGGAAGCCACATCCATAGTAGATGTGGCCTGAGAACAGGGTGAGTGAGGAGAGGACGGGAATTTGTCTGAGCAAGTGGAACAAAGTATGGAAAATGGGCAGAGGGTAGGCCTAGAAAGGACTTGAAAATCAGGCACTGAAGGTGAGGGGGCAGCTGGGCCAGAGCAGAACTGTGTTCAGCAAACTATTCTGATGGGGTTGGGGTGCAGGGAGAAGACCTGGGAAGGAGGAAAACCTGAAGGTGATAATAAACTGAACAGACATGGGAAGCAGGCAAGCTGGGATGGTTATGAAAGAGAAAGTGAGGATTGGATGTCATGGATTGGAAAGAGAGTGGAGAGCATAACAAGGAGAAAAAAAAGCTGATACAAAAGTATGTTGTAGGCCATTCACTTCTAACCCAAAGTGGGAGGCAGAGGAGGAGGGAGTTAAAATTACTGACCAGTACATATTGGGGAATATTAAATTTGTCAGGCACCCAGGGAGATTATCCGTGGGGCTATTGGAAGCAGGGGTTTGCAGCTTGGAAAAGAAGTCAGGACTTAAGCGTGATCATCCATGAAGAGAAAGAAGCAGACAGCCAGGATGGACCTGGAGAATGAGTCAATTTAAGCAGCAGTCAGTCAGATAAAAAAGAGGAGACCAAGAGCAAACAGCCTAGAAAGAGTTAGGGTGAAAGAGAAAGAGAGGATCAGCAAACCCAGAGCTTTCCCCTAAATCACTGCAACTCCTTGAGCCACCCACCCTTCACCCCTTGAACCCCCTCCTCTCTCCAACCCCATCCCCATACTTCCTAATTGCCTACCCAGTCTCCCCCTGTCTCCCATCTGTTCCTGACCAGAGGGTTATACTAAGCCCAGGTATAATGTTGTTCCACGTGATCTCCCAAGCTCTCAGCCCCCACATACCTGAACATATAACTGCTCTCATTTTTCATAACCAAATAGCTCACACTATCAGAACCAGAAGAAAGTCTTCTGGAGGGAGCGCCTCAAATTTCAGAGAAGCTAAAAACCATAAATCCCTAAAGCTCTCCATCAGGCACCAGAGAATCCTTCAAAACACAGGTCACTTTGACCACAGGCACACAGTAGGGACACCAAGGCCAGCACTGGGGGTGGGGAGAAACTGCAGATCCAGGAGCAAAGGAACAGGCTGGGCTGGACCCATGATGGGGGCAGACACTGAGAGAGACCAGAGCTCTTCCCAATGTGGTACAGAAAAAGAGGGGCCCTGTCCTAGTAGAGTTGTGAATAACAGCTCCCCAGTGGTGAAAGGCAATCAATTGACCATAAATCAGCTGCCACTACCCCACTTACTGACTGGTAAGCTGTTAATGTTTCTATAAATCCCCATATGTGGGTTATAAAGTAGGTCCCAATAAAAAAAAAATATAGAGGGAATTAGTCACTCTGCCTCTCTGCTAGTTCATTAAGGTCCTACAAACTGATCAACACCTGTGGCAAGTATTTCCATACGTCGGTGAGCTGCACCAAAGCTGGGGAGAAGATGGCCCCTATGCGGCTCACCATGCTGCCACTTCCCACGGCCAGAGACCTGAAAACATAAGGAATATTAAGACAGCAGGCAGAACTGAAGGCAGAGCAATGGATGGACTTCCCATAGCCCTAGCCACCCTCCTGGAAAAGAATAAATAACACAATTTAAGCTTGGCTTAATATACAAGGAAATAACTTTAAGTTTTTAAGAATTACTCTACTTATATCCACATTCTGCGAAACAGCACTGTAGACAAGCCTGCAGATAATTCCAGACAATTCAAGATCAAAAAAAAAAAAAAAAAAGCGGGGAGGGGGCAAACCATGCTTCATCTGCTATGCAAATTAGGCCCTTATGTATATTCATTTAGTCTAATGTTGAAAGATTATATCAGTCTTCTGGAGTAGGAATTTGTCTGGAGTAGGAAGTGGGAATTTGGGAGAAGAAAAGATAATGTATGGAATATTCTATTGCAGTTTTTTTTTTTTTTTTAAATTCAAGCCATAGCTTAATGTGTTTTTCTTTAAAGTTTATTTGAGAAAAATCTAGTAGACTGTCTAGTAGGAAGGAAGAATGTGCTTTTCATATAAATAAGTATCTCTCATTTTGTGAAGGGGAGCAGCCCAGGAGGAACCTAAACTGCCATCCACCTTGATCTGCAGCCTCCAGAACTGAGAAAATAAACAGGAGTTTTGAGATGGCAGCCAACAAACTAATAATAGTGCCCTCAAATGATCAACAGACCCAGCCTGAGAAAATTAACCTGAAATTATAGGTAAAGTCAGCGTCAATCAACTATATTTAAAATGGTTTTAGGATAAAGGATTGTTATTTCAAAGCAATTTATCAGATAGTCTGTTAAAAATGTACAAAGTCTCAGATTTAGAATTGGCATCATCATGATATGTCCCCATATTTCAGAGCTCAGAGTACGATGGAAGGAACACTTTCCCAAAGGCCAAATATAATGAAATGACACCTAAATGAAAGATAGCAAGAAAGCAACAGGAAAATAACTCTTACCTTATGACTGTTGGATACAGCTCTGCCGTATAAAGGTAAATGAGCCCAAATGCTGCCCCTATGGCGAATTTTTCACCCATAGTTACCATCACACTCCAATACCAGGGATCCTGGGAAAAATAACATCAAAGCAGACCACTGTAAATATTTTTTAAAGAAAAATTTTAAAGATTTACTTACAAATTTCTAGTTCTCTGGTATTTTTCAGAGCAATCAAGAGTTTTACTTTTCCATTTGAATTTGTCTTGCAAATTCTACTCATGGTCTGCCAAAACTTGGCATCTTTATGAAATTTAGAGGCAAGTATTATTGTGCCTCCCCTCAGCCTTGGAGGTTTCAAATTACCAAGTAAAGAAAGCCACTTGGGAGGACAATTTTGGAATGAGACGTACCCAGGTGGTGCTGGTTCCTCCAGAATGGACCCACTCCCTCTGGAACTGATCCAGTAAAAAAAAGTCAAAGAGACATAAAAACAAATTGTGTCCTTTACAGTAGTAATCCTCCGGTTTATAAATTGTCTTCAGAAAATACTTTGAAAGTGATAATTAAACTATTAGTACAGACTCTTTGGTGGGGTGGAGGGATTGAGGGAATACTGGTGCAATCCTCAAGAGCAAACATCTGCATGCCTCCAGCTCAGTCTCTGCAGTCACTATCATGTTTCACTGCCAAAAGTGGCTCACTAAGACCTCCCCTATTGCATCTCCTCTGTCTTGCCCTATCTGCCAGCTCAAGGTTGACACCTTGGTGACCTTGGAGTTCACATGTCAATCTGAGTCCCTCAATGACTCCACAAAGCCAACCATTCCCGTACTACCACTGCCACCAAGGTACACCCACGTTAAACTTTCTGTAGAAATAAATGTCTATTATAGAAAGTCACAGAGATTTGGAGATACCTCCATTAAAGCCACTAGTGTCTCCTTGTCACCTTCATTACTATTGTAGACAGTATTTGTTGAATGAGTTAGAGCTTAAATTTTTTTGTCCTGAATTAACAGTACCATTTTGAGAGAAATTTGTGGTTTAGGGTTGGTGCTTTATATCTAGAAATCCCCATCAGCCACTTTCCTGTCTTCCCTAACACCACTGGGGCTTACCACCCATAGAACTTGAAGGTTTGGAGGTTAGCCTAAATTTTCACCATCTCAAAGGCAGTTGCCATCAAGTCAACTAATATAACTGCAAAGTAATTAAAAACACAAACAAAGAAAGTATGGATTAAGTTCCTTCAAATTGGTAAAGATGCCCTTATCTTGAGTAGTTTCATTGCTTTTAGATCAGTTATATAGCAATCATTTGGAAACTTCAGTCACATAAAACATTTAATATACCAACTCTGATAGTTAAGTGAAGTGTTACTATAAAAGTCACCTTAAATTAAATTCCAAGCAATAATCACAATTTTGTTTTTTAACATTCATCATTTTTTACATTTTTTAGACAATATTTGCTTCCCCCACCCCCTCAGATTGAGTCCCCATAGAATTTCCTTCCCCAAGGCACCAGTGCACATCACCACAGTCCCCATTGCTCCTCCCTCCCTCCCTCTTACCCCTCTCCCTCCTGCACCCCTGTAGTATGTCTCTGATTTAAAATTGTCTGTTTTTGCTTTGTTGTGTTTTGTACTGTTATTATTTTTTTTTACATTGATGTCTTATTTGGTTCCCCTATATTCCTGTTATAAGTGAAACCATCCAATATTTTTCTTTTTCCTTCTGGCTTATTTCACTGAGCATAATTCCTTCTAGCTCCATCCACGTTGCTGCAAATGACATAAGTTTATCTTTTTTGATTGCAAAGTAATATTCCATTGTGTATATGTACCACATCTTCTTGATCCAGTCATCTATTTTTGGGAATTTAGGTTGTTTCCAGGTTTTACTTATTGTAAATAGTGCTGCAATAAACAGGTGCTCTTTTGAATCACTGTTTTTATGTCCTTTGCGTAGATCCCTAGTAGTGGAATTGCCGGATTGTATCATAGCTCCATTTTCAGTAGACTAAGGAACCTCCAGACAGCTTTCCATAGTGGTTGGATCAGTTTGCACTCCCACCAGCAATGTAGGAGAGTTCCTTTTTCACCACATCCTCGCCAACTTTTGCTGTTGTTTGTTTTTTTGATATGTGCCATTCTCACTGGTGTAAGGTGATATCTCAGTGTGTTTTTTTTTTTTTTAAAGATTTATGTATTTATTTATACAAGCACTGGGTACAGTCAGAAGCACGGAGGGTGAGAGAATTCACCAGAGCCAGAGCGGGGAGCAGAGCAGGCAGAAGGACCAAAGTTCACTGCTGAGGGGAGCAGCAGGCGGCAGGAGAGGTCTGTGCTCCATGTGGGACCCTCCTCCGGTGGCCAGGGAGGAGCCGGGGATTGAACTGGCGCTGCAGAGGCTGTGGGCAGCTTCGCAACCCAGCACTCAACTGCTGCGCCACCGGGGAGGCCCTCAGTGTGGTTTTGATTTGCATTTCCCTGATGACAAGGGATGTGGAACATTTTTTCATTTGCTTGTTGGCCATTTAATAAGCACAATTTTATTTATTTATTTATTTTTTTTTCAACCATCAGTGGAATTTTATTTTGGAAGCTTCTATGTATTACATAGTATTAACTTCCTTTCTCTCACCTCCCACCGAATCAGGAAGATTAAAAAAAAAAAAAAATAACATATAAAACCTCTTATCTAGTTTCTCTAAAGTCTCATATTAAAAATAAAAAACATAAGTTGGTGCCCCTCCTTTACGAGAATACTGCTTTTTAAGGAGAAGTCACAGTCTGTCCTCAAGCTCACGACAAAGTTCCACTCCTTCCTGGGGAAAAAATGGCCAGTGCTTCTGCTTCCTTTTAATAAATTCTTTTCTCGATTATTACACATTATCATTCCCCACTTGACACCTTCTTAGAAACTTCATTGTTGGATGCATTTTTCACTTGGCAAAAATTCAATGTGGCTTTGCGTGGGATGTCTAAGTGTCAGAAACAGCAGTGTTGATGTTCTGGTTTTGAGAGGGAAAATATATAGAGAGATGTATACATTCCCTGGAAGAACAAATGCAGGAGACTGACACAGGGGCTGCACAGAGTTAAGAAGGCTGATAGACACTACTTGATTTTGAATTCTGTTGCTGTCAGCTACCAAAGAATGCAGTGTAGGCCTGAATATAAATCTCCACAGGAAGAAGTTTGGTTAGGCACGGTGAAACGACAGTTTGCTTCATCTTGTTCCAAGAGTATCAGAACAGATACGCACAAGGAGGAGCAGTGTGGGTCACTGGCGATGAGCAGTAACCTGTGAAAGATTGTGCATGGGCACTTCTGTAAATGTTCTGCCAACCTAGGCACGGGGGAAGAGAAAGGAGGCATCCTATTAAAATACACTCCCATCTCTAATTCACCCAAGATCCCAGACTTCCTGTGCCAGGACTTGCAAGGCCAAAATGCAATTTAGAGTTACGTGTCATTCCAGGTCATCTGGGAGCTGGTTCATTTGGGGTCATCTCAGAAGACCCGGGTGTGCCCAAAAGAGCGGCATGTCTACCCAGAAGGGTACGCTTTGATGATCTTCACATCGTCCACGGGGCGGTCCTGGGAGTTTGTTTCCACCATCCCTACTCGATTCACCATTCCTATACCCTGGCACACACGACCAAAAATGGTGTGTTTGCCATCAAGCCACTGGATGGGAGCGAGGGTCACAAAGAACTGGCTGCCATTGGTGTCTGGTCCCGCATTGGCCATTGCAAGAATTCCAGCTCCTGTGAATTTCAAGTCTGGATGAAGTTCATCTTCAAACTGCTTGCCATAGATAGATGCACCACCTCGACCTGTCCCTGTTGGGTCACCTCCCTGGATCATGAAGTCTTTGATGATTCTGTGGAATTTTGTGCCATTGTAGTAACCTTGACGCGCCAACTCAGCAAAGTTCTTACAGGTCTTTGGAGCATGTTTCCAGTACAACTCAAGCACAATGATCCCCATGCTGGTCTCCAAGTACACGTTGGGCGGCTGCCAGGAGTCGGGGGGGATGGCCGCCATAGCGAGGCCGGAGGAATCCTGCTCCAGCCAATAAGCACAATTTTAAATGCCTTTTTCTAAATATCAAGATACTATTGCTTAATATTATATAATCTTTGGAGAAATTTTATGTAAAATATTGTAAAGTATTAATATAGTTAGCATGTTTTCCAAAGTGAGAACAGAGTTTCTGAAAACATTTTCTCTGGGAAGAGGGGGACCACTTCTGGAGGTACAAATCGCTCTAGACATGGAGATTGCCAAAATAAGGGAACATCAAAGTCATTTCAGGAGTTTATGGAAGTTTTTCACTAAGAAACTGTATTTTGCAAAGCAAGTTCCTCAGAGGGATTTATACATCTTATTAGAAATTGAGGGTTACTAATCTATCACAATGAAAAACCAAGGCTCTTAAAATCAGAACAATCCTGAACATAATTATAAGACTCATTATATCCTTTAAGTGTCTATCTGGCTCCCTCCTTCCGTCAGGTTTCTGATCAAATGTCAGCTTCTTTGAGAGCCACACCACCTAGGATCACCCTAGGTAAAGTAAAATGAACACATGTCTCTCTCTCTCTCTGTCTCTGTCTCTCTCACACACACACACACACACACACACACACACACATACACACACAAATACAGTCATTCTCTGTCCCTCATCCAGTTTTGTTTCCCCTTGTTATATTTATAGAAAGATTTACGGTGTGTTTTCAACACCTAGAACAGCACCTGACACATATCTTTGTAGAATGATAGATGAACGTTTACGATGACAACAATAACCAGAAGGTATAATTTACCTTCCTTACCCAAGATTATTGTGTTTATAAAATACTACACTGGCCATCTCTGGGAAATGGAATGATGCGACTTCATTTGTTTTTCACATTTTTCTTTTGCCTTAAAAGAAAATTCTACAATGAAAATGTACTACTTAAGTGACAGAGAATGAAAGATTCTTTAAAGAAAATCTATTTGTTAAATATTATATATACACTCTGTCCATATATCTGGATTGATTTTCACACTTACTATAATAAGCTACAAACTCTCCCATCAAACTGTCACATATAAGTAACTATTCTCTACATAAAACAAAATAGCTTACCACAGGAATCATCATAATCACACCACAGAGCAGCCCACTTAAGATAAGGAGGATGATCAGACTGTTTCTTCTCCCAAAATTGTCCATCGCCACACACACAAAGAGGTAGGCAGGAATTTCCACTACACCTGTCATTGAATGAAAGGGCCTCTGTAAGCCTTGCCATCCAACTGTACGAGGCACACCCAGAAGAAATAACCAATGCTCCCCTGACTCCCAAGGTCCTTTAAGGATTGCCTGAGAAGCAGCAAACTCTACTGCTTTTTCGGTTTGAAAGTAGTGACTTTTTATTAAGTTTCTATTAAAACAATCACGTTAGCTAGACACATTAGCCCATCCTCCTAATAAACCTGTTACTCTGGTCTTCCCTGTTGCCAACATCTCCACCTTCTACAAAGTGGGTGGCTTTCTTCTTCATTCCACCTTGTGGAGAAATTAACTTGAAGGGACAGTAGAAGTTGCTTGCCTCTTAGAAGCATTGCTTAATATTATATAATCTATTATATAATTATATTAATTTTGTATGGATTTCATGAATCAGGTCCTCCCTGCAGATGATGCCATATTTACCAAGAGACCAAGCAATCGATGCATTATCCATTTGGACCATTAGTTTCTTGTTGATTTTGCCATAACCATGCTTATAGATCAGTGTCTTTACTGACTTAGGGTTTGGATACGTCCATACAGTATATGGTTCTGTAACAGGGTGGTCCCCAGGAAAGGGGGAGGTTCCAGGTTCCCTGCCCCACCCAAGGGAGGGTGGAGCTGAGCAGGAAGAGGAGAAGCTGCAGAAGAGACTGAGGAAGGAAGCAGGATGGAGCCAGGAGACCTGGAGGAGGCGCATGGAGCCTAGAGACACGTGAAGAAACTGCGCTTGTCTTTTGGTCGTGGACTGGGTGACACAGATGTGGATGAGACCCGTGGGGAGGTGACAATGGCAGCTTTTATCTTGATGTTGATTTTGCTCTTTTCCTTCCGGGCTTGTCTGGTTGTTTCTGACCCTTTTCTGTGGGTCCCCACTGGAAGATGCTTTAGACTTGTGGCAGGCTTTGGGGCCTTGCTCTGGGCCATTCCCATATGGATGGACTTTTACCCACGAGGGGATGGGTAACTTTGGGTGCTTCATTTAGAAACTAGACTCTTTGCCTTACCTGTATTGTTTCCTAGTTTTATTAAAGTTCCTTCCCATTAAAGTCTCATATGTTTTGTGTTGATGCGGCGGATGGCAGAACCCATTTAGAATAGGCAGGTTTGCGGGGTTTGGGCTGCCCCAACAGTTCCACAAATCTTAGCATGTTAACTGAAGCCTTGTTGAGCTTAATAAAGGCACCACTGAAGACCTCGCAAAGGCAAAGAAACTGCAGCACCTTTCAGAACTTTGGGCTCACACCCTTGGTATCATTGCCCCCGATGACGGATGCCAATTTGGGTCCCACAGATATACAGAAGTTGCCAGTTTTTCTTGCTATCCTAGCAATTTGAATCTTGGTTCTGTACATCTGCCTATATTCCTTGTGCTAGAGCTTAGCTCTTTCATAGATAAGCTTCCTCAGTAGATAAGCTTCCTCCTTGCCTCTCGAAGCATCTTTTGGGCAAACTTCTTTCTGAGGCATTTGATCTTCAGCTTCAAAAATTCCTTTGCTTTTTCCTAAGAATTTCTGACACAGCAGGAACCTTTTTCCGTCTCCTCTACACTCCATGGTTCAAGTAAAACAGACTCTACTGCTCTTAAACTCACAGAAACAAGAAGGACATTTCTTGTGAAATGCACAGATACTCACATGACTGCCTAGTACTTATCAACCTGCCCTAGGAAATTTAGCCCTTACTAAGCCTTGAGATCCCCAGGACAGAGCACAGGCATAGTGCCTGCAGGACCGGCCTCCTGAATGAATAAATAAGTGAATTAATAAGTCAATATTGATCTTGTGCTTGTGCTTGGCAAACTGTACAAACTGCACAAACTGTATCTTGTGCTTGGCAAAACGGGGGAGAGGAGGGACATTTTTGTACCAATACCTGCAAACTTAGAAATTAAAATAGAAAGCAAGATTTTCCAAGGATAATATCAAATTAGGCAGCCTACACAGAAATAACCAGAAATTAAGGCTAGATGGAAAAATGTAGGTTTCTGATATTGCTCTCAAGTTTGGTATGAATTTGGTTTACCCTAAAAGTCAAGCCTGAGGCTATCCCAGCAACATCTGAGGGACATTTTAACCTACTACTAAAATGAAAGCGGTCTGACAACATAGAGTTGCACATACTGATGTTTTCTCACTTATTAACATTTCTAAATTGAGAACATTTGATAGTACAAAGATACCAGAGGATCTCAAAGATACATTAAATTTTAAAAGAAAAGCAACTGACAAAGAAAAATATGTAGCAAATGACCTTGTTTATGTTAAAACATGAAGTGCTTAATTTGCACAAATGAATGGAAATGCATAGAAAGAGATCTGAAAGAAACAAGCCAAATGTAAAGAAGTTACCTCAGAAAGAGGTGGTGAAGCACAATCGGTGCTTTGGTGGTGGGTGTGGTATGGTGTCTTAGGTCTGAGGAGGTGTAAACCTATGTGTTATAAGCCAATGTTACCTCGGGGTGGGGGGAGGGGGGAAGAATTTCAGTATTTCAGAATGTGAAAAAGAAAGAAAATATATACATGTATTAGAGTTCAATTACACTAAAAGACCACTATTATATAATTCCTGGTAGAAAGAAGGACAATAAAAACATGATGGATATTCTACGTCATCACTACAGTTAAATATGATTAAACTACTTACCCAAGAGGAAGAAGTTTAAATATTCATTGCCTGCTAAGTAAATAGCATTCCAGGATAAGGTGTAGAATCCCACACATGATGCGAACCAAGTCAGCCAAACAATAAGCGTCCTTCTTGCAATATTGCAGTTATGAAACAGTTCAAACAGTTTGTGCTTCTCAGTTTTACTGGGCTTAATCCCAACAGGAACATTCGGATCCAGGAGTAAAAGCTCTGAGAGATTACAGGAGGTTTTTCTATTACACTTGGCCATTCTATCAACTACTTTTTGTGCTTCCTCATATTTTCCCGCTGACAGAAGCCAAAAAGGTGTCTCTGGGAGCACCCAGCAGCACAGGATAAAGGGGACAGACAGAGAGGAGAGCACCAACAGATAGACCCGCCAGGACCTGGTCAAGTAGCCCACCAAAGGCACAAGCAAGGTTCCAGTCGCAAAAAAGGAATGCATTTGAATGGCGGCCCATGTCCGATATTTCCTGCCAATAAATTCCATCACGTAGACAAACATTGCCACGATATAGCCACTTGCAACCTGAAAGTCAAAGGGGGGAGAGTGGTCCAGATTTAAGGTCATATTTATAACTACTGAGGAGTCTGATCCCTCGGCAAATCATACACACATAAGAAAGAAAATGACCCCCAAAATATCTTTGTAAACCCTTATCACATATACAAAATAGTGTTTGATCTGATCCACCGTTCTTCTTTCTTTATTTTTTTTTTGTGGGACCCTTTACCAAAATGGTAAAACTTGAGAGGTTATGTTATAATATAAGTAAATGTTAGACACTTTTTTGTTTCCTTCATAGTCTCCATTATAGGGTGGTTTTACTTCTTAGCTCCTTATTTATCTCTATACAGTAAGTAGGTCCTTATCAGTAATCCAAAATTGTTGAATGGGGATAAGAAAAGTTTTGATAACTGTGGGGTGGGAAGCAAAAAAAAAAAAACAAAACAAAACAAAACAAAAAAATCCACCTGATTAAAATTTTATTTTCACAGGCAATAAAGAATAAATTTGAACTTTATGAAAATTTAAAATGTGCATCAAAGGAGACTATCAGCAGAGTAGAAAGGCAGCCCTATGGAATGATATTTGCAATTCCTAACTCTGATAAGTGATTAATATTCAGAATAGAGAACTCCTAAAATTCAACCACAAAACAAACAATCCAATTAAAATGTGGGCATAGGACAAAGATGATAAATGAATGACTGTGAAAAGATGCTCCCTACCACTAATCATCAGGCAAATGCAAAGCAAAGGCACAATGAACTACCAGTGTATACCCATTAACACGGCTACTGTTGAAAAAAGTAGAAAATAAGAAGTGTTGGTGAGGATGTGAAAAAATTGGGACCCTTGTCACTGTCATTGGGAATATATAGCAGTTATGGAAAACACCACCAGGGTTTCTCAAAAAAATTAAAAATAGTATTACCATTTCATCCAGAAATCCCACTTTGAGTATATCCCCGAAAGAATTGAAAACAGGGTCTCCCTGAGATAAGTGTGCAACCATAATATTCATAGTATTCATAGTAGCTGTTCACAACATCTAAAATGTGAAGGCATCCCAAGCATTCATCACCAGGTGAATAACAGAAAAGTAAAATTTGGTATATACATGCAATAGAAAAATATTCAGCCTTAAGAAGGAAGGATATTCTGACATGTGAAAATTTGAGTGAACTTTGAGGATATTATGCTAAGAGAAATCAAATGCTGTATGACCTCATGCATGTAAGGCACTTAGAGTAGTCAAAATCATAGAACATAGAACAGTGGTTGCCAGAGGCTTCAGGGGAGAAGGATGGGAGCTACTGTTTGATGGGTATAGAGTTTCAGTTTGCAAGATGAAAAAAGTACTGGAAATGGTGATGGTGATGGTTACTCAACAGTATGAATGTAGTTAATCTCACTGAACTGCATACTTAAAAATGATAAACTTTATGCTATATGGATTTATCATAATAAAAAAAATTGGAGGAAAACTACTTTGAAAATAGGCCTATCTTTAAGAAAATTTAGATTATAATATGTGATCAATCTTAGAAAAAAAGAATGAATCAAATGATATATGGGGCAGATGGGTGAAAAGATTGGAATTTTTCCAAAAATTATGTCACTTCTGACTTGTACAACACAAACCATAAAGTTAACTTTTGCAAAATTATTATTTGCCATTGATTTTTAAAAAATCTTTTAATCCTTTGATACTTAAATCAAGCTCTTTTGAAAGCTTATCATGAAGGAGATATTAATATCTTCAAAAGTTAACTGCTCTATCTCTTCCAGATCTCAACTGGTCAAGGATTCAGGCAGATTTCCCCCATTACTTCCAAAGACTTTCAATAATTAAGCATCTTCAGGAAGATCTGCAATTTCACCTTGCATCAGAGACTCACAGAGAGGCTGGCCTACAAGGAAGACCCTGTGATAACAGAGAAGTAACACTTGCAATTAAACAGGGAGGTGCTTTGGGGGACAACTGTACTAATGATCAGTTTAATATTTTTTTGACAAGCTTTTATTTCCACATACAACATTATAATTGTAAGACTCCAATAACAAACCCTGATCATGAGGATATCTGTATCCAAGAATCTAGTTATTTGGTAAATACTTGCTGCTATTACAGCAAATAACCTTTGTGATAACCTTCAGATACAAATGATCACATTAAGTTATGCTGTAACATCATTCCCCAACACATTTTTTCCAGAGTTAATTCTTTCTGATCCCACTCCTACTTCCTACTGGTCACTTCTGTCACTGGGTTCAGACAATCCATACACAATCGTCTAAATAATCTCCCCAAAATCCTTGAATCCATTCACTCCTCTTAGCTCCAACAATAACACTCTTCCTCACATCTACCCTGATCCCATCCCCACACAGTAGACAGAATGACCATTTCTCCTGCCTAAACCCCTTCCATGGATTCCCACGGCCTTTAGGAAATGACGCAAACACCTACAAACTCTGCCTAATCACTTGTGCCTGTTCAGCTTCCCTATTCTCCAGAGTCAGACCTTTGATTCTGTTTACTTCAAGGCCTCCTGACTCACTGCTCTCTCTGCTTGGAAAGTCCTCTCACCCATCCCTCAGAACTAATGAGCTCTTGGCTCTGCAGATTCTCCCAGTCAATGTCTTGCCTTCCCACTACTCTGTAGGGTAGTTGAAACAGCGGGGCCAGTTAACTTCACATTACACTCCAAAGGCAGATCAATAAATGCAGTGAGTAAATGAGTCTGCATCCATATTTCCTACTCGGAATTTCTCCACAAATGCATTTCCCATGAAAACTAAAGAAAAGTATTATAGGAAATTAAGGCCACACTTCACAGAGGTGTTCTATGGGTAACTGTCTCATTTTAACTCTGAAACCCAACAGATGGCATTTTGCAAGACTGAAACATTATCTACATTATCTACATTATCTTTTAAGTGTAACATCTTCAAGTCGCTTAAAGATTTTTTTTTTTGTTAAACATCTCCCCATCCTCGGCCATCTGTGTGGCTTCCTAGGAACCCACTCCAGCCATTAATGAAGACTCCAAAACTGAAGACCTTGGTTTCTGAGGGGGTGTACTGACCTCTACTAAGGTTGAAGACTTTGGCTTCTCTCTGGACCCTCGGATCATCCATCCTAGTGAGGCAGGATGCAGCCCATCCTTTGCATTCAGGTGGTAGTACAAGCTTTTCCCACAGATGAGAGCAAAAGCTTCACTCCATTTTCCTTGACCAGTGACCTCCAAACAGAATCACTGCTACTGTTATTTGGTAATTTGGAATATGTCTGGAAGCTTCACCAAGTGGGGAAACTGCTTCAACACTCCATGTCCACTTCCCATAATAGCCACCATGGTAAGAAGTGCCTGTTCCATGCCAGGCACTATGCTGAGGGTGTTAATTTTCATCTCACCATATCTGACAACAACCCAGTGAAACAAGTATTGTTTTCTGCAGTTTACAGGTTAAAATCTAAGGTGCTAAGAGGGTAACGTATTTGCTCAAGGTCACATAGCTCATATATGACAAAACTGGTATAGAACCTCACGCCCTATTCCACTATGCTCCCTTATTTCTCATAACAGAAAGACCTGATGCTTTCTTGTTTTCACTCTTACTGCACATCCTACAAATGACTTTCACAATGTTCAATCATTGTCTGTTTGGCTCACGCATGCAGGACCTAACTAGACAAAACAAATTGCTCAGAAATAAAATAACATCTCTGTAATTGTGGGATGTGGATCACGTGCCAGGTATAGAGTCAAACAAAATTTCTGCCTTGCAAGCAGTAATTTTTCATTTTAATGAGTTTTATTCTAAATACAGGACATTAGCTATTCCATAGAAAGACTTCAACAGTGGAGTGAACAAAGATTAGTCACTGATCTCTCTCTCTAGAGTCTCAATAAGCAAAACTAAGAAAATTAAGGCTTATCATGGAAATACAGCAGTAGAATCAAAGAGGTAAAAAACAACTCACTATAGCAAGAAGAAAGTGTGAGAGCAGGAAGGTGTAATAATTAACTGCTAATGCAGATGATATGCTAAGCAGAAGTATGCATACGCTTGTGGACCACAGGACAAACCGTCTTCCAATCCTGAAAAATAAGAATCACATAGCAGAAGAAGCAAGGCATAGTGGCAACAGTTTAAACATCCACTCCGACTCATAAAAGAAATGCTATCCATATTTTTAATAGCTTATGCATTTGATTATTATTATTCATTCATTTATTTTGGGAAAAGCATGAGTTATTGCATGATTTTTTCAAGAAGCCAGTCTTTCAGTGGCAAGGCCTGAACCTAAGCTAATAAGATACATATGTTGTCATTCTGGGTGATTCCAAAGGCCCTCCTTATTATTATGGAGAGAGGAAGGAAAGTGGGAGGGTTTGTGCTTTTTCGCCCATTGGGTCACTTTCCTTATAGGGTTGGCTCTGCCAAGGGTGGAGCAGTGCTTGCTAAGCTCCTCTAAAAGCAGAGGGCCTGCAATATTCTGCTCCTAGAATAAGGCACTTGCCTGATATTTTCTTTTTTTCTAATTTTGTATTTATATTTTACATCATTGTTCATTTTTAAACAGTATTTGCTCCCCCTGCCACTCAGATGCAGTCCCCATAGAATTTCCTTCACCAATGCACCCGTGCACCATCACCTCAGTCCCCTGTGCTTGTCCCTCCCTCCCTCTGATCCTTCTCCTCCCCTATGGGGTGTCTCTGATTTACAATTGTCTGTTTTTGTTTTGTGTTTTGTATTGTTATTATTTTTTTACACTGATGTCTTATTATTATATGTCCCCTATATTCCTCCTATAAGTAAAACCATCCAATATTTTTCTTTTCCTTCTGACTTATTTCACTGAGCATAATTTCTTCTAGCTCCACCCACGTTGCTGCAAATGGCATTAGTTAATCTTTTTTGATTGCTGGATAATATTCCATTGTATATAGGCCACATCTTCTTGATCCAGTCATCTATTTTTGGGCATTTAGGTTGTGTCCAGGTTTTACCTATTGTAAATAGTGCTGCAATAAACATAGGGGTACAGGTGTTCTTTTAAATCAATATTTTTGTGTCCTTTGGGTAGATCCCAAGGAGTAGAATTGCCAGGTCGGGTCGTATGGTTGCTCCATTGTTAGTAGACTGAGGAACCTTCAGACAGCTTTCTATAGTGGTTGGACCAGTTTGTACACCCACCTGCAATGTAGGAGAGTTCCTTTTCACCACATCCTCACCAACACTTGTTGTTAGTTTGTTTGATATGTGCCATTCTTACTGGTGTAAGGTGGTATCTCAATGTGGTTTTGATTTGCATTTCCCTGATAATAAGGGATGTTGAATAATTTTTTCATATGCCTGTTGGCTATTTGCATTTCCTCTTTGGAAAAATGTCTTTTAAATTCTTCTGCCCATTTCTTGACTGGATTGTTTACTTTTTTTTGTTGAGTCATGTGAGTTCTTTGTATATCTTTCTGATTGCCTGATATTTTCATAATTAAGAGGTGGCATTTCTTTGTTTAAAAAAGAAACAAATTATATTCCCGATAGATTTTTTTAATTAAGGTATAATTGTCATTCATAACATTCAACTTTTTAAAATATACAAACCATATTTGTCACAGAACCTAAGTTATTTTTATTGTGTTTTACCAGTTTGTTTTCTTTATTTATATTCCACAAAGTAGTGGACAATCTGGTAATTCTTTCACTTTCTGACTAATTTCACTTAGCACAATCACCTTCAGTTCCATCTACATTATTGCAGAGCATAACTGCATCTTTTTTAATAGCTAAATAGTTTTCTGAATATATATACTACAATTTATTTGTCCAGTCATTTAACTGTCATTTGTTTCTATAACTTGGCTATTGTGAATAATACTGCTAAGAATATAGGGGTGCATAAGTCTTTTATTATTAGTGTTTTTATACTCTTCAGATAAATAGGTACAAGTGGCATTGCTGTGTCGTATGGTATTGCCATTATTAGTTTTTAAGAAATTTCTATACCATCTTCTATAGATGTTGCATCAACTTACAGTCCCACCGACAGTCACCATCCTTGACAGCCAACATGTTTGTTTCCAGTCTTTTCGATATATGCCTTTCTCACAGGTGTATGGTGATAGCTTATGTGGTTTTGATTTGCATTTCCCTTATCATTAATGATGTTGAGCAATTTTCATGTGCCTATGGGCCATCAGTATGCCTTCTTTGAACAAATATCTATAAAGATCTGTTGCTCACTTTTCAGTTAGGTTGTTTGTGGTTTTTTATATTGTTGAATCATATGAATTCTTCACATGTTGTGCAAATATCTTCTTTCAGTCGATAGACTGATTTTTTTTTTGTTTTTCAGTGGCTTCTTTTGCTGTAAAAAAGCTTTTTAGTTTGATGTAGTCCCATTTGTTTATTTTTGCTGTTGCTTCTCTTGGTATTAAAGTACCCAAATACATCTGTGAGGTTGCTATCCAGGAGTGTGTTGCCTGTGTTTTCTTTTATGTAATTTATGGTTTCAGGTCTTATGTCCAACTTTTTTTTTTCACCTTGAAATAATAGTTGTGTATGAAATTAAATAATTATTTTATTTTATTTTTTCCAAGTGGCTGCCCTAGTTTTCCAGCACTGTTTGTTAAAGAAGATTTCCTTTCTCCATTGTATGGTCATAGCCCCGTTGTCAAAGATTAACTGTCCTAATACATGTGGGTTTATTTCTCGGCTCTCAATCTATAACATTAGTCGGTATTTCTGAATTTGTCTCAACACCATATTGTTCTGATTATTATCACTTTGCAGTACAGTTTCAGCTTGTGAAGAGTGGTCAGGGACTTTCTTTCAGATGTGTAAAAGAGTACAAGAGAGCCACAGAGGGAGCTTCTCCACCAACTTAAGTATTTTTCTGACCATCCTAAAGTTGTTGAACTCCAATGAAAGAAATGATTCATAACAATATACAAGATTTTTTGCCTTGTTCCTGAAAACCTAACTTCCACATCTCACAGGAAGACATTCATGGAACAGAAAATTGTTCAATTTTGAAGCATAACTTCAGCCACCAAATAATGACTAGACTCTTTCTCTTTGAGTTTCATTGTTTGAATGCTACCTACCTCCTAAAGGGGATGTGGACAATGGGGGGAAGACCTGAGCATTCTTCCTTTTTGGTTTCCATAGTCCTTATCTTCACCGTTTTCACTGTTAGTATGGCCCTGGTCAGAACAAAGCCCTGTAACTTTTCTTTGTTCATGTTTGTTAGCTCTATAGATTGGCATACAGTGACCTAAACTGTTATCTTTAGATTCCCAGCACCCAGCATATGCCAGTAAAATTTACAGTGGTGGGGACCAAATAAATTAATCTCTGCACTTTACCATAGCCATTGAAAGTGTGATCCATGTTCACACAGAGATGAACTTTGCTTCGTTTTAAGAGGTACACATTAATTTTAATGTTTTTTAATAAATATCATATCAAACCCCCAGTTTTATAGGCATTACTGCTTAGAATCTGGTTATAACTCTTCCAAAGCAAGCCTATTGAAAGAAAAAAAAATTCAAAGTAATAACCAATTTCTATTGAGTATTATATGTTCAAGCTGCTATTCTGTATTCATTTTACAATAGTCTTTTAAGTTAAGTGCTATTGTTTTTGTCACCAGTTTACAAATAAGATTCTGAATCATAGGTTTTGCTCAGGGTCTAAGGCTAACAGTGGCAGAACCAGAATTTGAGCACAGGCAGAAGTCTTCAGAACCCATGCTCTTATCACTGTTATTTTATGTCCCTAAATAACATATCAGCAAAAAGAATTATTATTTAGATATTAGGTAAACAAATATCTAAAGTTTTTAACATTTTTCTTTGTCCCCTAAAAATAACAGCTAGGAACATGAACCATACACTGATGTAACAAAGCTAAATATTTCATTTTACCTGTCAGAAAGGTAGCCGAAAATCACCCCTCCCAGCAGGACTCCAGACATAAATACTGACTGGACAGCCTTTGCAAACCATTTTTGGTTGCAGACCAGATTCCACTGGGTCACCACAGTGCTATCCCAGAGGGTCTTGTCATAGACGTAACCATCTGTGCAAGAAAACCTACTCTTAAGGCCATGATAATCATAGTTCAAACTCAAATTCTTGTCTTCCCTCCGGAGCCTTTCACATTTTAAGAGCTCCCAGACCTCACCGTCCTGGAGTTGCACCGTGATGTGGTGTGGTTTGCTTTTGGCTAACTGCGTCCAGATGTCATCCAGACACCTGTTAGAGATATTGTAGAAAAGAACTTGACTCATGTTCCCTGGGGGCCTGCAGATATGTCTGGGGGTGACTATCAGGTACACAGAAGCCAAGTAGTGGATTCCACAAGACAAGGTCTCGATGGCACACAACAAATAGAGGAATATCTGGAATCTGCAAAGAGAAGAAAAGCTAGTTAACATATCTTCATTATGGGCTATAAAAGAACATAGGCACACATAAAGAATCTTTATCATGTTTTCATATATATATATATATGGATAAATACAGAAATTATTAGATATGTTTATATATTTATATATTCCAGTTAGCATGTGTGCATACTAACATATATATACATATATATATACATATAAGCATATCTATAATTATATGTCTATTGGGCTGGCCCTGTCTGTTATAGGCCCTAAAAAGTAATGACATCCCTATAGCAATAAGCACGTCCAGTGTTTCTCAATATCATTCACCAATAAAAACAACTAAGTCTGAGACCAGGACAGGGAAAATATAAGTCGGGGTTTCTTGGAATATTACAAAGTAAGGAAGTAGAAAAAAATACAAAAAGATGAGGCACACCCAAGGGATCAAAAACCAATCTGAAATAGCACCTAATGGCAAAACTTAAACACTTTAAATAACAAGTTAAATAGCATAGTATATTCCAAAGCATAAAATAAATGAGTCTATACTATGATGGCTAATTTTAGGTGTCAACATGACTGGGCCAAGAAATGCCCAAGTAGTAGGTAAATGGGAAAACAGTATTTCTGGGTGTGCCTGTGAGGGTATCTCTGGAAGAGATGAGCACTAGAATCAGTAGCCTGAGTAAAGACAATGAACTCACCAATCGAAGTGAACATCGCCCACTCCATTGAAGGGAGTCTGTACAGACCAAAAAAAGTAGAGGAAGGGAAATTGATCTCTGCTTGGACTAAGACTTATCCTCCCTTTGGACATCAGCACTACTAATTCTTGGACTTCTGGACTCAGACCACCACTTACTGCATCGGTCCTCCAATTCTCAGGCTTTTGAACTCAGACCAAGACTTATACCATCAGCCTCCCAAATCTCAGGCCTCAGACATGGACCTCACAAGTCCACCATCCACTTTCTGGGACCTCCTACTCCTAGATCCTGCTCCTAGGACCTCCTGCTTCTGTTCCTGTGGAACTTCTCAGCCTCCCTAAATATGTGAGCCAATTCCTGTAATAAGTGTCACATATATGTGAGATATGTGTAATATAGCTCCAATATATGAGATACATGTATCTGTTTTTATAGAGCATCCTGATAAATACAGATTTTGGCAGTAGGAGTGGTTCTAAAGGAACAGAATCTTAAGGATGAGTTTTCTGAATTGATTCTGGGGCTTCTGGAATTGGCTCTCAAATCTGATTAGATTTAAAGGCCCTGATGACGCTTTAATTCTTCGTAGGAATTCTATTCTCCTCACTTAAAGGTGACTAGGATAGTGCTTCCTCACCCAAGAAATGAGAAAGAAATAGGGTTCTCTACTTAATGTTTTCACAACATTTCCTGAATACTAAATAGCAAAACACAATAACCTCCCTTTTTACTTCAGAACAATAAAGAGGCCAATTAGAGCAAATACCAGAGAAAACATGACGTACTGTGTTATGGTCACTGTAGGGTAGGTAAAAGGTATCAGGCTTTTCTGCCCTCCCGCCATCAGGATAGATGACGGAACCCTGTGGTCCCGAATGCATGCCTGATGGTGGGCACCTGGAGTAGGGTGTGGGCATAGGTAGATGGGATTCACCTGGGTTGAGACTGGGCTTTTAAGGGCGGTGTTACAGGGACGCCAGTAGAGGCCGAGAGAGAAGCCAAAAGAGAAGCAAGAGTAGCAGAAGCCGAGAGAAGGCCAGAGAGCCCAGAGTGAAGAACTGCTGGGGGCTGGGAGGCCTGCCAGCCTCCCGGCCCCCCAAGCACCCCTGCCTGCTGTGTACCTGGTAATTCCAATAAAAACCTGCAAAACCACTGAGGACTCTGACTCCTCCTTTACCCAGTCTGCTGGACCAGAAAACCTGCACTGTGGTCTTCCTGGCCCCTACAGTCACACTCTTTTCACCTTCTGCTGTAAGCACTAGCTTGTTATTCTCTTCCTTCCTGCAAGGTGCTTTCACGAGTCCAAACTTCCCGCTAGATGGTAACAAGGATAGTCATGATTATCAAGAATGTACTGAATAAGATCTGCATACATTATGTGGCCAAGACTTGTCTCCCCAAATCCATTCTCCCCTTCTTCCACCATGTTGATCTTTATTTGACCTTGTGGGTAAGGACAACGGAGCAGCTGCCCCATGCACAGAGAGGGAGCCCAGTCTGTGGGTGGCAGAGCTGCCTCACCCACTTGGGCCCCTGGGTGACCCCAAGGAACAGAACCTGCCCTGGATGGTTACTGGAGAGACAAACTTCCAACTGAGGAATCTCCTTATTACAGCACCTTGGCCAAACAATAACTACTATAACGACCTTAGTCAATACCTGAAGTATAAAAAATGGTATTAGTACCTCCTACCTCACATAGGATTAATGTGAGGATGATATGAGAAACTGGTTGTAGAGCCCCTAGTAACGATAAGCATTAGTAGTACCATTATTACTCCCATGTTACAGGTGAGGAAGATCACATAGTTAATAAATGTATAGCCAGGACCAGGATGCCAACATCCAACCCCCGAAACATTTTGTAATCCCCATGATCTTCCACTCCCAGATGATAAAATGTGCTAATATATAAAGGGTCTGGTTGAGTCCGTGGGACTCAGAAGATCATTGTGGTTAAGAACATGTGGAAGCCAATGGTCAATGCTGCTCGCTATGACTGTACTTATGATTTAGGCAAAGCACCATGAGTATTTGTTACAGGGCCCCTGAAACCTGGCCCTAATTTGTGTTATTGAGGTATTGTTAACTTCCTATTGTTGAAGACCTAATCAATTAGGATGTGCTTCCCCTCATAGTGGGGACATGGGGGAGAGGTAAATGTGAGTCCAGGTAAAGCGCCTGTGGGTGCTTAAAGGTCCTGAAACCCAAGCTAGAAAACCTCCCAGTCCAGCTAATTCCTGCTTGCAAAACCCCAGCCAGCCACTGACCTGTTTCCCTGATACCTTCACCTTGGTGATCAATCCCATAAAAAGAGGGCCCCTGGTGCTCTCAACCCAGGAGTGTGGCTCAAGGCAGTTGCCCCCCACCTCCTGTTTATTATGTGATCCATAATAAACATTCCTCACTTGAAACCAGTTATTGGCTTTTTCAAAATTCATATGGGAGGGGCCTCCCTGGTGGCGCAAGGGGTTAAGCACCGCACTATGAAGCAATCCACAGCCTCTGCAGCACGAGTTTGATCCACGGCTGGCCTGGGAGCAACTCACATGGCGCAGCAGACCTCTCCTGTCTCACCCGCTGTTCCCCTCAGCAGTGTACTTCGGTCAATCTGCCTGTTCTGTTCCCCACTCTGTCTCTGGTGAATCCTCTCACCCACCGCATCTCTGGCCTGTACCCCAGCTCTTGTATGCATAAATAAATCTTAAAAAAAAATTCCTATGGGATTAATTGGTGAAAGCCAGACCAAGACCCTTCAGAATCAGCAAGAAAATGAAACTGATACCCCCAATCTTACAGGGCTGCAGTGAAGATTAAAGGCTGTGACATGTACCAAAAACTTATGTCAGAGCCAGATGCAACTGAATATTCAATAAAACAAGTCACAGAAGGAAGCAGGGAGAACTGGAGCCTCATGATGCTCCTGTGCTGCTCAACCACTTGGTTGCGCCTTTCTTCAGACACAGAATCATCACTAACGGGCATGCAACTTTCTGAGACACAGGGCAAGCTAGGAATTAGGCAGTTTTAGGGACATTGAAGGAGGGGACCTCGGAGAATTGAGGAAGGCAGCAAGAGGAGTGTAACTAATTCCACCTGGAAAAACAAACATCCCAGGACCAAGGACAACATTGTTAACGCTGGCCTTGGTTTCCTTCAAGTGATAAAGGGAGGTAGAGATTGGGGAAATGGAGAGTGGTTTAATTTATGGACAATTTAGAAGGGCAGCTGTTTAACTTCAATGCAGGGATGCTCATCCAGAGGACTGGACCATAAAGATGCAACAAATGGGGAAAGAGAAAGCTGTTAGATAAGGAATGTGAAGATCCCCCCCTCAGTAGCAAATTAAGTGAAGCAGCTGAGAACTAACCAATCACCAAGAGACTGGTGGAGCTTCAGAATAATTAGGGGAAAAAGGTCTATATTCCCTGAGACACGACTCCACTTTGGCTTCCTTGCCCCTTCCAGGCCTGGTTTCATGGCCTGGGAGTCCTACTTTATTTGTTCTTTTTCTCATCAATAAACTTTTTCTTTCTATAAACAAACCTGCCTCTTCTCACTTGCTCGCCTGAGCGTCTGCGAAGTTCCTGCTGCGGCTTCGTGAGACACCAACCCGTGGGGGTCTGGTGGCTGGGACTCAGCGCTGCCCTGCAGCCTGGGATCCACTCCTGGCTGGGAGACTAGGCCTGACAATTCCGGTATCATTTCCACTTTAGAGAGCAGCACCAGCTCATCTCTTCACGACAAGCCCAGGAGGGAGGCAAGGCAGGAATCACTATGATCTCTTTTTTGTGCATAAGAAACTAAGACACAGTATTTGTAGAATCATATTAGAAGTGGCAGCTCAAGATTCAGACCTAGTTCCAAATCTCACCAGGTGTGTGGCACCTCACTCAGTTGCCTGCTCCCAAAACATTCTGGGTGAAAAGGGCATTTCTCCATGAATGAATGAACGAATGAGTAATGAATGAATAAATGTTTTAAAGTTTATTAAATTAATTCAACAAATAAAAGAGGGTGCCAGGTGTACAAAGGTTAAACCTAGTTCCCACCAACCTGTAGTTGTGGGTTGTGGTCTCACCAACTTCAGTTTCCCAATCATTAAAAATAAGAATTTCGGGCCTCCCCGGTGGGGCAGCGGTTGAACGCCGGGTTGCGAAGCTGCCCGCAGCCTCTGCAACGCCGGTTCGATCCCCGACTGCTCCCCAGCCACCGGAGGAGGGTCCCACATGGCGCGCAGACCTCTCCTGCCGCCCGCTGCTCCCCTCAGCAGTGTCCTTCGGTCCTTCTGCCTGCTCTGCTCCCCGCTCTGGCTCTGGTGAATTCTCTCACCCTCCCGCGCTTCTGACTGTACCCAGTGCATGTATAAATACATAAATAAATCTTTAAAAAAAAAATAAGAATTTCAACACGTCCTCTGCAAGATCCCTGTGGGCATCAAATAAAGCACTCTGGGTGACCAACCGCAGGGCACCTGGCACAAATCAGGTTTCTATCAACAGCAACAAATTGACTAACGGTTTTTGTGGGGCAATACCTGGCAGGCACTGCGGGAGGCCCTGACGCGGGGCGGGGACCCGGCGGGCCAGGAGCGGTCTGGGGGTGTAAAGAGGAGAGGAACAGACACCCCTCCACTCCAGAGACTGGGTCTCCCGGATTGGCACTCGGGACTCCCGCAGAGGGCGCCCCAGGTCCCGCCTGCAAGGCCCCAAGCGCGCCAGGCAGGACCCTCACCCACCACTCCCCCAGGGAGGTCCAGCCGCCCAAATTCGAGAGGACAAACCCAGTTCAGGGCCAGAAATCTGCACGTGGGACTTCCGAATTCCCTGGGAAACGGGGCACGGCGGGGTGGAGATGTTTTCCGAGCGCTGGCGCAGCACGAGAACCCCACTGCAACGGACAGAAACAGACCCACGGCGCCCCCGCGTGGCTCCCAACCCACTCCCGGCTCCCACCTGCCGAAGTGCCCCAAGTGCTCAAAAATCAGCTCCAAGTGGCTGTTCTCCGCGGGGTCGCCGTTTTCTGAGCTTGGGGGCGGGACGCCCTCCGCTTGGCTAACGTCCGGGGCTTCCGATTCCGCGCCCAGCCCCGGCGCGGCCTGCAGCGCCCCTGGGGACTCGGCCATACGACCTGCTAGAAATGGGGGGTTCCAGCAGCCAGAGTCCGAGACGACAGACCTAAGGGCGGGAAGCACGGGTGCCCGCGGGTCTCCCAACCTCTCTGGCAACGAACGGGGGTAGAATGCGGGGCGCGGGGGCCAGGCGCTGACGCTCAGGTGCCCTCCCGTGGGGGCGGCCTCGGGTTTCTCCCCCGCGCAGCCGCCTCCTCAGCACGCTGTGGTGGGAGAGCCTAGCACGGTGCCGGGACCCGCGCTCCCAGCCGCGCCATTTGCCGCGCCCTCCTGGCGGTCGGGTGGGGCCTGACAATCACAGTGTCCTCGGGGTCGCCCCTCTCCAGCGGCCGAGTGGGGGCTCCCCTGGACAAACAGGATTCCCCCCACGCGGCCCCAGTCGCGGGTTCATCCCCAGGAGGGCGTCCCCTCCCGGCGTTTCAGCGTTCCGTGTTGTCAAACCCCACCGTCAGACTCGGGGCGGGGCTGCTTGGGGACTGATGATCAGTGGCCCCACCTGTCTGCACCTCCCGCTCTTGTCAGTTGGGGCTACCTGCTGCTTGCCTTTCCTGAGTCAGGGAATGGTGGATTTGGCCGACCATTCTCTCAGACGTGAGGTGGTAACCGAGGGTGGTTAATTTGCACTTCTTTTATAGCAAGTGAGGTTCAACAATTTTTCCTGTGGTTACTGGCTCTTGGACTGTCTCCTTTGAGAAGTGACTATTGAGGTCCTGCCCATTTGTTTTATTTATTTTTTTTGCTCTTTGAGAAATTCATGAGATATGAAGCTCATGAGGTACAATTCTGTTAAAGGACCTATGCGCAAACACTAACTCTATGGCTCATGATTCAAAGTTGAGTTTTAGAAACATACATGCAGCAATAGTTCTTGAATGTGTGGTCTATTTTACAGATCATAAATATTAAGAATGATAAAGAATGTCAATGCCCACTTTATAACCCTTGTGGTCATAAAATAGTAAGCATCCTTTTAAAATATACCCCTGAATATTTTGTATATGTAAGATATACTTACATGTGCATTTTAACTTTATATATGTGTTGAAAAAAGTTCCACAAGTCTTCAACACATTTCAGTCTATGGGCTGCCCAGATTTCCCCCAAGAAAATCAAGTAGTGTTTAGTCAGATGTTTTTCCTAGCTACCCAAGTAACTCTTCCCACTGCACTTCTGACATAATAGATCTTCTAGTCCATCATTTTCTGTAAACCTGTACTTTATGTTAGTCCACTTTTGTTTATGGAATGGTTACTACTTAAAGGACCTGAACAGTATCAGTGAAACTAAAATTTTCTACTAAATTCTTCCAAACTGTGGAAGAGATCAAACTGTAGAATTTCATTCTGCATTCCATTCTTGGCAAAATTCATTCTATAGTCAACAGCTCACAGCAATAGTGGCTCTGTGAAAGAAATCATGAAATAAAATTGCACACTATTACATCTCTATTTTCATGTATATATTTTAAATCTCCAAAAGTATTAGCAAAGAAACGGATTCAATTACTCAAAATTGTTAAGATGGGACCACTTGTTTATCATACCCATGTTGGTTTTCTTTTCTATGTAATCAGCTCCATTTTCTCAGGTCAGAAATTCAGTTTTTATTCACAAGGAAGGAATCTGAACAATATTATTATTTGATCATGCAAAAACTTTATTTTATTTTAAAATAGGATGGATTGGGGGAAATGTGGTCAATTTTAAAAGCTGTTAAAAGGATTCTAATGAAAAAGCAACCCAATTGATTCCTATTATTTTTAAATTGTAACTAATAATAGTTAACGCTCACTGACCATTCCCATATAATAAACATGGAATACTGACCACAGACATCTGCATGATCTTACTTATTCCTTTAAAACACCCTTTGAGCACCTGCACCCCTATGTTTATAGCAGCACTATTTACAATAGGTAAGCTATGGAAACAACCCAAATGCCCAAAATAGATGACTGGATCAAGAAGATGTGGTACATATACACAATGGAATAATACTCAGCAATCAAAAAAGATAAACTCATGCATTTTGCAGCAACATGGATGGAGCTAGAAGGGATCATGCTCAGCAAAATAAGCCAGAAAGAAAAAGAAAAATACCATATGGTCTCACTCATAGCAGGAATCTAGAAAACCTAAATAAGGGACCAGGAAAAAACGAATTAGTACAAAGTAAAAATCAAAATCAATAAGCAACTATAAACCAGCGACAACTATGGGGGAGGGGGGTGCAGGGAGAGGTAGGATTAGGGTCAAAATAAAGGGGGGGTGCAATTGTATGGGGACTATAACCAAAATGAAAATGCATACATTGTGCAAAAATGAAAAATGATGTAATAATTATATAAAATAAAATATTTTAAAAAAGTAAACCCCAACTAAATCTCAAACTAAAATAAATAAATAAATAAAACACCCTTTGTTTTTTTTTTTTTAAAGATTTATTTATTTTTCTATACAAGCACTGGGTACAGTCAGAAGCGCGGGAGGGTCAGAGGATTCACCAGAGCCAGAGCGGGGAGCAGAGCAGGCAGAAGGACCGAAGGACACTGCTGAGGGGAGCAGCGGGCGGCAGGAGAGGTCTGCGCACCATGTGGGACCCTCCTCCGGTGGCCGGGGAGCAGCCGGGGATCGAACCGGCGCAGCAGAGGCTGCAGGCAGCTTCGCAACCCAGCGCTCAACCGCTGCGCCACTGGGGAGGCCCCAATAAAACACCCTTTGAGGACACAGAAACATCAATTCCAAAGAACACCTGCACCCCTATGTTTATAGCAGCACTGTTTACAATAGCTAAGCTTTGGAAACAACCCAAATGCCCAAAAATAGATGACTGGATCAAGAAGATGTGGTACATATATACCATGGAATATTACTCAGCATTCAAAAAAGATAAACACATGCAATTTGCTGCAACATGGATGGCGCTGGAAGGGATCATGCTCAGCGAAATAAGCCAAAAAGAAAAAGAAAAATACCGGATGGTCTCACTCATAGCAGGAATCTAGAAAACTTAAATAATGGACCAGGAAAATAAATAACTATAAGAAAGTGAAAATCAAAATCAACAAAAAACTATGAACCAGAGACACTTTTAGGGGGCGGGGGCGGGAGGGGAGGGATTGGGGTCAGAATGGGGGGCTGCAATTGTATGGGGAATATAACAATAAAATTTATAAAAAAAAAAAAAAATAAATAAAAATAAACTAACAAACCATAAAAAAAAAAAAAAAAATAAAACACCCTTTGAACCTCAGCTTACAAAAATTTAAACACAGCTCAAAAAATAGTAAAAATAAGCTCTTGATATACAGTAGATATGTCTGGCTTCAATACAATACCCATAACACTGTCTTATGCCTGAGGCTTATTAAGCAATATTTGTATTCAGGTGACTTAAACTGAGTTTGGGTTCTACAACTAAGCAGCATGTAATCTCTGGCAAATCTCTTTTCTTTATCTTTTATTTTACTTTATTTTTTTCTGGCCTGTGAAAATTTATGCTACTCTGTTCTCACCATCAAACCTTATGATCTTGGTCTCTCCTTCTTCCCTTTGTATAGGGCCAAAAGAGAGACAGTGGCTACTTTGACAACCTTAAGTGGGGCTCCAGGAATATCACCAACAGTATGGCCTCTGTGGCCAAATACAGCAAACGGAACTTCATCATTTTCCTCAATAAAATTCACACAACCATTATTAAGTACCAAGGCTGTGATTTTTTTTTCCTGTTCTTGTTCAGCTGGATTCTGACACACTCCGGATGGCAGAATTTGACTGGCTTCAACTCCCACTTTTTCCAGCTCGATTCCCTCTGCCTGGGAAGCACCTTGAAAAGGATTGGCTTTGAGGGCAGTGCCTCACTGGGTTTTCTTTTTTTTTTTTAAACTTTCAAAATTCAAGTTTAATATGTACTATCAATACCAATCATGGAGTGGATAGCCCCCAATTTTTTTTACAAAATTTCATGTAACTATCTTCCTGATTTAGAAATGTAAACTCCTGAAGTCGACCTGATAGACCTTCACACCACTCCTGACTTCTTATACCACAGGCTAGTTTTGTCTATTCTGGGGCTCTTTGTGTCTGAACTCTCACTCAGCATTCGATCTGAGCCCATGCTGTCCTAAGCAGCAACTGTTATATTTCACTGACTATATACAACAGTGTACTTATTCATTCTGATGGGCCTATCTGGGTTGTTTGCAGTTCGGGTTATTATGAATTGTGTTTGCACAAATGAATTGAGTTTTTTGGTGAAAATAAATACACAGGGCCTCCCCGGTGGCGCAGCGGTTGAGTGCTGGGTTGCGAAGCTGCCCGCGGTCTCTGCAGCGCTGGTTCGATCCCCGGCTGCTCCCCAGCCACTGGAGGAGGGTCCCACATGGCGCGCAGACCTCTCCTGCCGCCCGCTGCTCCCCTCAGCAGTGTACCTCGGTCCTTCTGCCTGCTCTGCTCCCTGCTCTGGCTCTGGTGAATTCTCTCACCCTCCCGCGCTTTTGACTGTACCCAGTGCTTGTATAAATAAATAAATAAATCTTTAAAAAAAAAAAAAGAAAGAAAAGAAGTACACAGTTTTGTTGAGTATACACTGAGGAGTGGGTCTGCTGGGTCAAAGCATGGTGTACTTCAGAGCTTTACTACACATTTCCCAATGTAGATGCACCAGTTTACAATTCCACCATCTGGGTGTGAGTTCTAGCTGCTCTCTGTCCTTGCTGACACTTGGTGTTTTCATAACTGGGCTTTCTGGTACTGTTTATCATGCCACTTCTGATCTTGGTGGTGGCTTCTGAACTTCTTGGCAGTAAGAAGACCACGGAGAAAAGATGGTTCACCTAATACAGCCATCTTGACTCAGCGACACTTCCGGCAAATCCCAATCACTGTGACATTTTCTTCTACAGTGGTTTACTGAAAGATAAAATCCTCGATCCTTTAACTATCTTGGATAAAAGATTTTAAATTAAAAATGGTAAATTAGGGCCTCCCCGGTGGCACAGCGATTGAGCGCTGGGTTGCGAAGCTGCCCGCAGTCTCTGCAGCACCGGTTCAATCCCTGCCGCTGGGCGAGGGTCCCACATGGTGCGCAGACC